ATTAAATAAGCCCCCCCTCTCAAATAAGCCCTCCGTCTCTATTAAGCCCTCCCTCAAATGGGCTTGAAATAAATAAACCCCCCGGGGGGCTTAATAGAAGATTTACGGTAAGCTATAAAATAAATTGGTTACCCCAAGCTCTCCATTTCGAATGGCGATAAAAGCGGGAGAGAACGCGCGAATGAGCGGCAGAGCCAGCGCCTCGCGCGCTCTTTCGCGTCCTTTCGCGTGTAGTTCAAGTGACCTCTCAAGATATCCCCCAAATGAAGAGCTTACACGCAGGCTGCAACTTAAAAGACTAAGAACTTTCGGACGCTGGGCTCACACTGGCCGCGCAGACAATGAGCCTGACATTTTTCACTACATGTGTTTGCACTGTGAGTTTGTTACTTGAAGTCTCCGCTTCCGGTGTTAATAGATACACTGATCTGTTACCCTGTAGTGAGAGATAAGAGAGAGGAAAAGAATGGTCAGTAAATGGGAGAAATAGAGGGGAATTATGTTGTTTGTCTTGGTGAAAAGTTTGGACTGTTCAAAGTCCACTTACTACCCCGACATGGAGAGGGAAGGATAAGGGATATGTACTGAGACTAAGAGGATATGTAATGAGATAAGTATTAGCTATAGGGGCAGGAATTTGGGTGGTTGACAAGACGTTGGGGAAGAACAAAACGTGTTTGTAACCGGGCGAGCAAGGAGAACTCCATAATTCTTCATATGATACGAAAGCCGAATTCAATAATTGTTTTATTATTCGCTCAAAATAATTCCTAGTTTAAAAACATGGCTAAAACAAGCCACCTGCATCGATATTAAGTTTATCTTCGATAGTTTACGTCTAGGTTTGTCTAGATCCGCAAATATTCTGCAAATAGCAGATGTCGCCCTACGAGTTGTCTTCTTGCTGTTTTTGCTATGTTTTTTGCTATTATTATACCTAGTTCCAGCTGTAGGTTTTACTCTTGAAACGAGTGAAGTCTCCGCTATTTTTATTTTCACAACCAAAACAACTCAGTCTCGTTCCCACGGAGCTTTAACCTGCTGCATTTTTGACGTCATTTCCTCGTTAAAGTGAAAATTCTTCCAAATTTGGTCATCGGTAACTGGTTATGATGAATTATGCGTGTGCTTTTCGCCAATCAGAATTAAGGAAATATTTTGAATGAATAATAATAGTACTTAACGGTATTCAATTTCAGTTTCAATCTCACTGTCACTCAAGTGGATGGGGTGGGGGTGGGCGCTTATTTGAGTTTAATTGGGAGGGGGAGAGGTGGGATGGGCGTTTAATCGAGGCCGGGCGCTTATTAACTTTTTCTGCCTTTAGGATGGGCGCTTATTGGAGGTGGGCGCTAATTCGAGGTTGGGCGATTATTCGAATAAATACGGCAAATGAATGAATAAATCTACTCATAGAGCATATCATCACCATCAGAGAGATTTGATTTAGAGTCGAGAGAAACAGTCCTTCTTATCGACTACATTGTTAACCGTTTCAGTCAAGCTGATTTATTTATTTAGCTTCGCCTAACTAGAACACAATCTTTATACATGAACAACAAAAAATTAGTAGGCAGGGAGACCACTACAGCCTAACCAATTACAGTGGATCAGATTCTTATTGTTGATGCCCCACGTAGGTAGTTGATGCAGTTGACTGCTTTACCAATAGATCCTAGTTTCCATTAGTTTAAGGCACTCAGATTTCTCTATAACAGTTTGTATTGCTCTGTTCGTTACGTTTTCCCATGAAAAACTACAAGAGGACAAGGGTTGCATGAATAAAGGGATCCATCAAATTTTATTAAGTGCTTGTTTTCTTGTTAAGAACACCTTTCTCGTGCATAACTTATCACAACCCACTTTTAGAACTGTAAAATTCCATGTGACTTGTACCAATGGCAAAGGTTCTTATTTGCGGAATTTTACTGTATCTCATACGAGCAATACCAGTTACCTTGAGGAGCGTTCGAAGGGTTATAAATCAGTGGAAAGTCCATGATATCTTTCTCCCCCAGGGCAATACAGCGGTACGGCATCAGCAGTGGAAGGCGTAACGTCCCGGCTTTTCCCAGGCACTTCCCTAAAGCTATATGTAGAGTATTCGGGGATATATGAAGAAAATAGCACACTCTTTCATGTTTGTCACGAAATCTAATGAAATACTTAAAAGAAAATTTACCAAAAGCGACATATAAAAGATAAGGGTTTGGAACATGGCTGGTAGCATCCCCTTAGAAAAGCATTTTGAACACTTCCTCTCAGGTGGTGCCGGCAAGATATAAAATGGCTTTAAAAAATAAAAATAAAATGAAAGAAAGAATTTCAAAAAGGGAATGAACTCTGGCTGGAAAAAAATTGCAATCCAAAATGTCCAGTCAAAGAAGAGATAAACAAGAAAGCTACTAACAGTAGTTTTACAGGTTTTTTAATTGCCCGCTTCTGATCAGATGACCGCCATCTCTAGGGTAAATACGGTTACCACGTGGTAACTGATAATGTAACGTCGTGGATTAGAGGACAACAAGACGCACCCTCCCCACAGCAGGCTCGGGCGTCAGCCAATGGCGCTAAGCCAGTGGCAGCCGCTATCAGTCCATTTATGAGCTTATACTGTAGCCCACCCATAGCCCATGATATGAATGATGTGCAATGCGTGAAAGTTAGACCACACCACCGGCGAAACTGCCCCGACTCTTTTCCAACAAGAGTGTGGCTTCGTTTACACCCCCTTCTATTTCAGACCAATGAAAGAATGATGAAGGAGAAAAGGCCAACGGCCTATCGTCACCGCCCAATGACGCGATCATCTTAACTGAGACAAGGTGTCAAATCACAGCCAGCATGATCTCACGGTCCGGCCGGGGTTTGAACCAACGACCACCCTCTCGGCAGACCGATGCTCTTCCAAATGATCTAACCGAGGGGTGGCAGGCGGTGGTTACCCTTTTTAAAATGCCCGTCTTCTAACTAGTTAATGAGTGCGCACAATTAATTGGCGCTTCTTTTGCGTGGTATATCATGAACTGATTTACTTAATATTTTCTATGATTGGAAATTTGATTTGATAAAACGTTGCTATTTCCCTTTTTTTAGCAGACTCGAATAAAAGAGATAATTCTTCTAACGTCATACACAGAGCCTACTCTTTAATTTTAATCTCGGCTGAGGTGTTGCGTGCCGATCTTCTGTGCTATACTGTCGGACTGATCAATGATTTGATCTACGAAAAAGAGAATAACTCAAATATTCAATGAAAAACGTAGAGAAAAAGCAATTTACTTATTAGTTTAACAAACCCATGCCTAATCGGCTGGATTTTAAGGTATGCACGAATCGATTAAATTGCATGCTAAAGATTTGTTGTGTAGAGGCAATATCAAAAATACCGACCTTAAAACCGTAAAAAAAAAAAAGTTGAAGAAAGCCTAAAATAAATGAAAAATAAAACTGAAATAATAATCTTAGGCCTCGTTTATGTATACAACACTGCTATCTCTCACTTTTTGTCCTTCTTTAACAGAAAATAGTTCTAATTCTAAAAGTAACTCTTTCTAGTTAAGAGAAACTAATCAACTTATAATCAGTTTCTGATCATATGCAGCTAAACTTTCAGTTGTTACTTAAAGTCGGAACATGAAGCCACTCTAACTTAACATTGCAATTTCATTCACATTTACGATTAACATCTCCTCAGAATTCTCTCTAAAATTCGTACAGGCAATTATTGTCATATCGCCAAAGATAATTAAAGAAACGTAAAAAAGGTTTACTAAAAACTGAACAAATAAAAATTCAGGATGCTACGCATTAAAAGTTTTAGGTTTCTTTTTTCAACTTTCGGCTGTTTTGACTCCAAATAATATAGTCATGCAGTCACTAGATCATAATTGTCGGAGATATTTATACCGTTAACGGCAGCTCTATTAATCGCTATCAATCGAGCTGAAAGACTTCAGCGCCGCTTACGACTGCCACTGCCTCATTGGTGATGTGACAAATAAAGCCCATTTGTGAAGTTTTAATATAGTTTACATTACACTGTGTGCAGCCCCGGTTTGCACTAAAGTCAGGCGTAAAAAACCGTATTCAGCAGATACGTCACTATCTAGAAAAGCGTTATGAATTATGTTTTTCAACCACTTATTCACTGGAGAGCGATATCCACCTTTTAAACCGGGGCAATTAGATACGAGAGATAAATAAATCTCTGCGGTACCACTAATGAGGCAAAATGAAAACAAAAGGATCACGGTCTTTCACAATGATCGTAATAGGTAAAGCTATCAGTACCAGTTAATATTTAGCCATTTCAGCATTTTGTGGTACCAACATTTTTTCCTGGGTACAAAAATTCTAAAGTTATCACTTTTAAATCAATTTACTCGTTTTGAAAACATTACATGCGCGGTTTTTTGGCCACTTTAAAAGACGTACCATTGCATGACGACAAAAAATATAGTTTTTATTCTGTAGGATTTATTTACCAGACTCCACAACACAAAAAAGGAGACTGATTTAAAACGGTTAATTCCGACTCAAAACGTTTATCATTATTGCCTTGTTTTCATTATTGTCTGTTACCATTTTACCGTTTGAAGGTTGATAATGAAAGCTGATATACAATCGCCTCTTTTTTCGCTACATCAAAGAGAACTGGACATTTTCCGCGCGCGTTTTATTCGCCTTTAGTGAGGCATGAAGTAAAATGGAAAACTGAACCGTTCAAACATCGCCGAGGGCCGTACGCATGATGGTGTGCTGACATATATCCGGCAGTGTAGATCATCAATAAAACGTCTTCCCACTTCAAAAGCACGGGGTTTTTCGGAACCGCTGAAGATGTATGAAATTTGTCAAGGTCATCATATGGTGAATATGCAAAGCAACTTTGTCTATGTTTGTGGACTTAAACTTTTAAGTCAGCTGTACATAGAATGCCTCGATGCAGTGATTATGTAATTTATATGGCTTTAATTGGGTGACGCGCTAGAAAAATCATGGAAGTCGAAGATTCCTTGTTCGTGACAGTTTTCTTGCTTGTTTTTATGTCCTTCCTGGCCTTATTTGCAGTACTTGGTAATGGAATTGTTCTTGGTATCATTGCTCGGTTTAAAAAGCTTCGCACCTTTCCAAACATTCTGATTGCTAATCTGGCGTTGGCTGATTTTTTCAACGCGTTCATCAATATACCCATGTACTTGCTTTATGCAGTCCTGAACGTAAAATGGTTTAGAGGAAAAACTTTAGCGATGATTTCGATTTTCTCATTCTCATTCTTTACCTTTGTAAATGTCGTTTCCATGTTGGTGCTACTCGTAAATATGTTTCTGGCGATAACATTTGACTTAAAATACTTCACCTGGAAAACGAATAAAAAAGCCAACATTATAGTCCTTGTTGAGTGGTTGGTCGGGTTTAGCTGTGCTGTTTTGTTGTGTCTTAATTGTGATGTCGACCTTCAACAAGATGCTTCTGTTTTAACGTATCGTAATGAAGTTCTGGGTAAAGGCAAACCTATTGCGCCAGCCATCACCTCGGCGTTCGTGGTCATTGCAGTAGTCCTTAGTGCCATGATTTTTGGGTCAATTCAAAAAATGAAACGCCAGGTGAGTCTTTTTTTGCTTTAGAATGATTTTCTACATTAAGTGATAAACTGCATGTCTTAATTTAGTTTCTTGAACTTTTACGAAAAAGTAATGCAGACACGCATCCCCTACTGGGAATCGAAATTCAGTTCTATCTTGTTTTGTTCACTGAGATGCAAGTACTCTGGGATTCCGCTAAGGCGATAAGAGATAAGATAAAGATAAGATAATTTATTTAATGTCAGATACACAGGGGGTGGTCTCCCAATCCCCCGAGCCACGGGCTCATGATAAAAGTGTTTGACAATATAAAAGAAAAATTAAATAAGTAATATCTCAATAGCGACTAATTAAATTTAAAAAAATATCATCTATCTATAAAAATAAATCGTGTCAAAGGCAATTGCTGCATTGACAGCCGATAAAATTTAACTTAGTTAAGTCTCCGAAAGGATGATGCATTAGGTGCGCTTTTTACAGCAGATGGCAACTGGTTCCAGATGTGCGAGATCATGTACGCATATGAACCATGAAGGAATCTACTATTATATGAAGTTTGTACAACATTTAGACCATTGCTTCTAAGATTATATGGTGTAACTCGGGGTTTGAATAAATTGGCTACATAGCCAGGACCATTCTCCCTGAAACATTTAAAAAATATCATTAAGGATTGTTCTATGCGTCTATGTTCCAAGGTATTCATATCTGCCATCCTAAGAATTGATTCATAATCGGTACTTTTCCCCATGTTCATTATAGTTCGTAGACCATAATAGTTCGCATCTTCCAGTTTCTTGTTAAGTGTTTTACCTATACCCATAAGTAAAGAGTTGCAATATTCAAAATGTGATAACACAAAACTCTTGTAAAGAAGCAATATAGTATTTGCCGGTACTAAACGCTTAAGGCGGAAATATGAAAACGATCAGCTCTTTTGAATTAGACAAAAAGGCTGATTAAGCTGATTCGCTGGTACGTAAAATTGCCTGTAGGCGAAAAACTTCAGTTCGCACACAGCGCCCTAAAAATTGTCTTGCAAACCGAGGGGAAGTAAATCACGACTGACCGACCTAATGTAGCTCGTCCCAGGAGACTGTGTAGTAGAAGAGGTCGAAAATTCTCTTCAATTCGTTGGCACTTTAATTTGGGGTGAACTAGACCTACGTTTAGCTTCATTTATCCGTATACATAATTACTCTATTACTTGATTTTCTTTCCCATGGTGCTCCGCTGGTGCGCATAATAGAGAGTTTTAGATCCGAGTTTACCGCGAACCTCTAACCACTGGAGGTCACGTGAGTCAAGTCTTTCGCGTCACGTTTGAGGTTTACGACGTGCGTTTTCAATGTGGGGAGGTAGGTTTTCACGTATGCCATTTACCTGAAAGCTTTTAGCGTATAATTCTTAAGAATACAAAAATCTTGGGGAGCAAGTCTTTATCCATTAACAGAGGCACAAATCTAAATTTGATAAATCGTATTTGATCTTGAAAACAAGTGCCATTTATGGCTGCTGATTCAAAATAGCGGCCGTAATCTAATCCACCGCCAATCTAAATCGAATTATGTTTAAACGTCGAACCGCAAACGGGTAGCCGCAAACCTCGGTTAGAGATTCGCGGTAAACTCGGATCTAACTGAACTCTCTAATAGCGGAGCTCTGGCGCGCGAAGCACGCCAGGTAGAGCACAGGAGAGCTAGAGCTCCTGTAGAGCACCATTGGTAAGAAAATGAAGTAATCCACTCATCCGAGAAAATTTGGTAATCACGTGACCGTACACCGACCGCCCGCCCGAGAGACCGTCCGTCCGCACCACAGGCATACCGATGTAAAACAACTGAATCAACAGGTATGGCAACCCAAATGCAACTCGAGGTTATTTTGGCGGGAAATCGTATAGCTACCGGCGTGCTGTAAAGCAGAGACAACAATAGAGTCAATACAGACGAAAACGGAAAGCGGAAATTGTTTCTGTATCCGTGTTGTCTAAAGTATTAACATGGCTTAGATAAATTGTCATGTCCACAAATTTGGAATATAGAGCAAGAGAAAGACAGAGGAAAAGAGAAAGTGGGCGGCAGGCTAGCGAAGCTCAACGAGAAAAAGGGTGACAGGGATTTAGAGCGAGAAAAAAAACCGAAGGAGACATTTTTTTTGTTGGAAGAACAACATGAAAATTTTGTAGCGGCGGTGACAAAATGAGAACTGCTAGCGGCCACCAATATCTTGGTATTAAAATGTAAATAACACAACCTCCTAAAATCGTAGTTAAGCTATGAGAAAACCTTCGAATATTTTAGACGAATGTAACGGTTATCCAGAAATTTTTTTAGCTTTTCTTCTAGGTAATATTTGCTCCTTCGAACAGTTATTCTACAGAAAAAAGTCATTGGGTGCCCCTGAGATTATAACAGCTGCATTACAAAAAAGATGATGTAAAAATAATACGATCTGTGAGTAAAAAAGTGGATTGTTGCATTGATGCAAAATATTATATACAAAGTTTCAACAGTTCCAAGCCTAATTCGATGTGAATCTTTGTGACTAGTTGTCCATTTGAGTAATTTTAGCTTGTAAGGTAACAATAACTTTTTGTAATTATGTGTAATTGCGTTAATCAGTTCGGTTACAGCTTATTTTCTTGATTTTTCCCGTAAATGGACCACCTCCCGTAAGCAATCACTTTGTTGTGACCAAGGGTGGTCGCTTACGAGAGAGTGGACTGTAAAATAGGCAAGCCCTTAAATGAAATAGTTCTGGAGACTGTGTAAGTACTTCAGGTCTAGGGAAACACAAAATTGAAAATGTTTATTATGATCCTGGATGGCCAGGTCAATTTATTCCATCGCCAGCTAGCCAGAAGACAAAAGACAAAAAGCCCGTGGACTCGGTAACTGATACAAGTACATTTGCTTGTAGGCGCAAAACATTATTTCAAGCACCGACAGCGCCCTAAAGATGCAACGGTCTCAAAAATGAAGTAAATCACGAGAAAACTTATTGTAGGCATGTCAATGCAGATTCATATCATATGTGTATTCAGTTTGTTAAGGTCGAAATTGAATATCCCTTAAAAACTTCACAATTTTCTTGTTGCAATTTTAACTGAGCATCTACTATAGAAGTATAGTATCTTTTATAGATCCGATATGCTGTAATGCTTGCATGGTTCTGTCCATGTTTTTGCACAGCTCGCCCAGGCTCGAAATATGAGCATCGGCATTGTTGCATAACACTCAAAAAGGTTTACCTTTATATAGAGAGAAAACCTTTTACATAAAAAACCCATAAAACGGCCATAAATCGGCCCCCACAGGAGAGAATTAACACACATTTTAAGTAAGGTAAGCATTTTTTTTATTGAAATCCTTTCATTTTCGTTCAAATCCTTATATTTTGAATGTTACGCAACAATGCCGATGCTCGCCGATGCTCATACTTCGAGCTTGGGCTACCTGTGGTTTTTGAGGTTGGTTTTGGCCAATTCTTTATTTTTTCTCTGCGACACATCAACTTGATACTTGGACTCTTGCCCCCCAGAGGACACGTGGTATGGCTTGATTCTGTGGATGTTGGGAGTTCTAGATCAGGGCTTAATATCAGAGTGCGCGGATATTTTTCATCAGAGCTTTCTCTGGTTGTTGCGCCATACTGACAAGTGCCAAAAAAGGCGAAACAGCTGTCTATGGCTACAATCTCGCTCTGTTTTGAGTTCTTTCGCTATCCTGTTGATGTCTTACGCAGTTGATTTCACGCAGTACGATCAGCATTGCAGTATTCTGCTTGCAGAACTTAATATGTCTACATTATTATTTTTGCTGGTCAGGTCTTTATAGATCCTACGTTCTTCGGCATATTCGTTTGCGGACCTTTGCAGTCCTTTGTGGTTAATGTTTGTGCTTATAAAACTAAGTTAAGCTTAGTTTAATGTCATTATATGTGATCACACTGTAGAACTATCAGTTCCATTTACATCTTAAATATCTGCAAAATGTTTTTTCATTTCTAGAGAAAGCAGCTAAACCTGCCTCGACTCCAGGTTGAGGCCAGACTGCAAAAGGATATTCAAGCAGCTAAAGTTATTATCATTATTGTCTTTGTATTCCTTGGGTGTTACATTCCGCCCCTCTGCATCATAGTCTGGCATCGGTCCAATTCCCATTTCACTGCTAACACTTGGAATTATCACTTAGTACACACCGGCATACTCATATCCAGCGGAATCAATCCTGTCATCTATTGTTTCAGAACCAGCAGGTTTCGCTGCGCACTGAAACAGCTTCTTAATGATCCTTGCGGGAAAACGGCTTTCCAAGAAATCAAACGGAAGCAACGAGCCATAGAGATTATCCCAAATCGGATTGAACTAGGTGACAAAATTGCGCGCGAACCTGACCAAGACACATTCAAAACCGCGCTGGAACCTGATCAGGACAGATTCGAACGTACTTCCTGTCCATCCCTTTTTCAATGGGTTAGTAATTCCAACTGCTGCACCGGGAGAATGGGTCGGGTTGCACCACGGTTTCAACAAAAGAAAACCAGTGAAAACAACAACGAAGAATCGGAACTGCGCGCTGATAATAAAGCAACGCCCTTGACAATACAGGAGTCACAAACTCAGATAGTAATCCCGCCGACAAAATCAATGGATAACGAGAATTATGAAGAAAAACTCTCCAGAAAAGAGCGACAGACATTCAAAGCAAATGACTCACGCCAGGAGGTTACTGTTGAGGTACATCCTAAACGTATCCATAGTCTTCCTAACTTGAGGAAAAAGGAGCAGAACCTTCAACACCAAGGAATAATTTGACCACGCTCTTCAAGTGTTTCGTTTTGAGTGACTTCGGAAATAACCGGAAATAAGCAAATAAGCAAATGGACGGAGAAGGAATGCAAGTATCATGCACACTTTACTTCTAGGGCAGCAAGAGATATAGATATGCGAGATTGATATTTTGAAAAAGGAATTATGCAAGAGAGCTTGATTGATATACAGGTATGGACACTCAATTTTGACTGGATTGACTAAAAAAAATTGAAGACAAAGAATAGCCATAGTTGTTTTAAAATAGATTAATTCAGTGTTTCGGACTTTTCCGGACTTGTCGCGCGCTGTAAAACATGTTTCGAGTTATCGAGGGTAAAATTGTATAGAAATGATCTGAAGGGAAACAAAAATTGCTGCGGGTTAGAGGGAGGTTCGAGTTACCGAGGGTAAAATTACAGTAAATGTACGGTATGTAGGAAATCTGGGAGAAATCGACTTTGCTTCGAGTTAGTGCGACGTTCCAGTTAGCGGGGGGTTTGAGACATCGGGAGTCAACTGTACTGTCCTACACAAGACGGCACAAATTGAAAAAAATCAGATAGTGTAATTTTTTCAAATAAGTATCCCCTTTGTTTGTCTTTGTTCGGGGCAAAAAAGAAATTAAAAAGTAAATAAAATAAAAATAATGAACAAAGTCATAACACACTTAGATTGAGGCACGTTTTAAAAAGACAATTAAGGCAACGTTTCTGTTGTTGCAAAAGCATCTTTATAACTTAACAAACGTAAAGCACGCGCTCTGATTAGTCAATTACCCGTTTACTTTTTGCCCTGGGTGAATGGTGACAAAAGCTAGCGCGCGCTCGAAGCCGTACGCGCCACTTTCTACGCGACTATATTTTTTTTACCTCACGGTTTCCAAAGATTTTTCACTTCATACCGAAAGAAAGTTTACAAAGATCGTTAACGATAACAAACTAGTTATTCATCAGCAGGATTTTTTTCAAAAGAAAAGAATTTGCAAAGAATGATGCGCACACGCCATATTACAGCACTCAAGTCATTCCCCTGCTATCTGTGAGCACTAACTAAAAGTAATTGTTCTCCTTTGATTATGATATACAACAAATGATAAACGGCTCAGCCTGTACTGTTGAGTTATAGGAGCACTTGGGAGGATTGCCAAGCACTTAAGCAGCTAGAGTTGCACTCGGCTATCACCTCGTGCAACTCTTACTCTTCTTTCATACTTACCAACCTTCCACGTGCAACTATTTAACAATTATTCCTCGAGCCCAAATGGGCTTTAAGTCAACAGCTCAAGAGGCCACAGGGAGGCCAAATGGGCTATCGACTCAGAGGCCATAAGGGCGAGAGGAACAGTTGTTTTCGTAAAATCCAAGTAAATATCAAGGCAAAACAACTTTAGCTAGTTAAAGCTAGGCTATAACATATAGCCTAGTAGTATCTCAACCAATCAGAACGCAGCATTGATAATAGACCACTAATTGGATTTTTACTAACACTCAATAGTACACACTGAGCCGTTTACCATTTGTTAGTTGCGTTTTCTCATTGTGACAGTGGCCCTGAATTATTAGTAAGGTAGCCTATCGGTCTTTGCAGTTTGACATACTATCCCGATACTACGAACAATTTTTCAGAACAGAAAATTATGTAACCACCATTTGAACAAATCTTGGGCTTTCCCCCACGCTCTTTTGAGTAGTTTTTACAGATACACATTTGTTACGGAGGGACTAGTAAATCGTTTTTTTTCCCCAGCCTTTTCGCCCGTTTTAGTAATTTAAGACCAAATCGTGTCATTTCATACTCTAAATAACATTCCTCTCGAAAACAGGGAGCTTTGTTTACCCTTGGGAAATAATATACGACATGAGAAGAATGATACAGCAAAAGGAGCTAAAAACAGATTGCATTTATTGCAAATTTTATTAACGTTCTAAACGCGCTCCTTTTCCCATATATAAATATTATTAAGCTATAAAATAAATTGGTTACCCCAAGCTCTCCATTTCGAATGGCGATAAAAGCGGGAGAGAACGCGCGAATGAGCGGCAGAGCCCGCGCCTCGCGCGCTCTTTCGCGTCCTTTCGCGTGTAGTTCAAGTGACCTCTCTAGATATCCCCCAAATAAAGAGCTTACACGCAGGCTGCAACTTAAAAGACTGAGAACTTTCGGACGCTGGGCTCACACTGGCCGCGCAGACAATGAGCCTGACATTTTTCACTACAGGAGTTTGCACTGTGAGTTTGTTACTTGAACTCTCCGCTTCCGGTGTTAATAGATACACTGATCTGTTACCCTGTAGTGAGAGATAAGAGAGAGGAAAAGAATGGTCAGTAAATTGGAGAAATGGAGGTGAATTGTGTTGTTTGTCTTGGTGAAAAGTTTGGACTGTTCAAAGACCAATTACTACCCCGACATGGAGAGGGAAGGATAAGGGATATGTACTGAGACCAAGAGGATATGTAATGAGACTAAGTATTAGCTATAGGGGCAGGAATTTGGGTGGTTGACAAGACGTTGGGGAAGAACAAAACGTGTTTGTAACCGGGCGAGCAAGGAGAACTCCATAATTCTTCATATGATACGAAAGCCGAATTCAATAATTGTTTTATTATTCGCTCAAAATAATTCCTAGTTTAAAAACATGGCTAAAACAAGCCATCTGCATCGATATTAAGTTTATCTTCGATAGTTTACGTCTAGGTTTGTCCAGCTCCGCAAATATTCTGCAAATAGCAGATGTCGCCCTCCGAGTTGTCTTCTTGCTGTTTTTGCTATGTTTTTTGCTATTATTATGCCTAGTTCCAGCTGTAGTTTTTACTCTTGAAACGAGTGAAGTCTCCGCTATTTTTATTTTCACAACCAGAACAACTCAGCCTCGTTCCCACGGTGCTTTAACCTGCAGCATTTTTGACGTCATTTCCTCGTTAAAGTCAAAATTCTTCCAAATTTGGTCATCAGTAACTGGGTATGGGGAATTATGCGTGTGCTTTTCGCCAATCAGAATTGGGGAAATATTTTGAATGAATAATAATAGTACTTAACGGTATTCAATTTCAGTTTTAATCTCACTGTCACTCAAGTGGATGGGGTGGGGGTGGGCGCTTATTTGAGTTTAATTGGGAGGGGGAGGGGTGGGGTGGGGTGGGCGCTTATTCGAGGCTGGGCGCTCATTAACTTTTTCTGCCTTTAGGATGGGCGCTTATTGGAGGTGGGCGCTAATTCGAGATTGGGCGATTATTCCAATAAATACGGTAAATGAATGGATAAATCAACTCATAGAGCATATCATCTCCATCAGAGAGATTTGATTTAGAGTCGAGAGAAACAGTCCTTCTTATCGACTACATTGTTAACCGTTTCAGTCAAGCCGATTTATTTATTTAGCTTCGCCTAACTAGAACACAATCTTTATACATGAATAACAAAAACGTATTTGGCAGGGAGACCACTACAGCCTAACCAATTACAGTGGATCCGATTCTTACTGTTGATGCGCCACGTAGGTAGTTGATGCAGTTGCCTACTTTACCAAAAGACCCTAGTTTCCAGTTGTTTAAGGCACTCAGATTTCTCTATAACAGTTTGTATTGCTCTGTTCGTTACGTTTTCCCATGAAAAACTACAAGAGGACAAGGGTTGCATGAATAAAGGGATCCATCAAATTTTATTAAGTGCTTGTTTTCTTGTTAAGAACACCTTTCTCGTGCATAACTTATCACAACCCACTTTTAGAACTGTAAAATTCCATGTGACTTGTGCGAAGCCCAAACGTACCAAGAAGTGTGATATACCAGTGGCAAAGGTTCTTATTTGCGGAATTTTACTGCAGCTCATACGAGCAATACCAGTTACCTTGAGGAGCGTTCGAAGGGTTATAAATCAGGGGAAAGTCCATGATATCTTTCTCCCCTGGGGCAATACAGTGGTACGGCATTAGGAGTGGAAGGCATAACGTCCCGACTTTTCCCAGGCACTTGCCTAAAGCTATATGTAGAGTATTCGGAGATATATGAAGAAAATGGCGCACTCTTTCATGTTTGTCACGAAATCTAATGAAATACTTAAAGAAAATTTACCAAAAGCGACATATAAAAGATAAGGGTTTGGAACATGGCTGGTAGCATCCCCTTAGAAAAGCATTTTGAACACTTCCTCTCAGGTGGTGCCGGCAAGATATAGAATGGCTTTAAAAAATAAAAATAAAATAAAACAAAGCGTTTCAAAAAGGGAATGAACTCTGGCTGGAAAAAAATTGCAATCCAAAATGTCCAGTCAAAGAAGAGATAAACAAGAAAGCTATACTAACCGTGGTTTTACAGGTTTTTTAATTGCCCGCTTCTGATCAGATGACCGCCATCTCTAGGGTAAATACGGTTACCACGTGGTAACTGATAATGTAACGTCGTGGATTAGAGGACAACAAGACGCACCCTCTCCACAGCAGTCTCGGACGTCAGCCAATGGCGCGAAGCCAGTGGCAGCCGCTATCAGTCCATTTATGAGGTTATATTGTAACCCACCCATAGCCCATGATATGAATGATGTACAATGCGTGAAAGGTAGACCACACCACCCGGGAAACTTTCGCTACTCTTTTCCAACAGGAGTGTGGCTTCTTTTACGCCCCCTTCGATTTCAGACCAATGAAAGAAGGATGAGGGAGGAAAGGCCAACGGCCTATCGTCACCGCCCAATGACGCGATCATCTTAACTGAGACAAGGTGTCACAGCCAGCATGATCTCACGGTTCGGCCGGGGTTTGAACCAGCGACCTCCCTCTCGGCAGACCGGTGCTCCTTCCAAATGAGCTAACCGAGGGGCGGTAGGCGGTGGTATCCTTTTCAACATGCCTGTCTTCTAACTAGTTAATCAGTGCGCACAATCAACTGGCGCTTCTTTTGCGTGGTATATCATGAACTGATTTACTTAATATTTTCTATGATTGGAAATTTGATTTGATAAAACGTTGCTATTTCCCTTTTTTTAGCAGACTCGAATAAAAGAGATAATTCTTCTAATGTCATACACAGAGCCTGCTCTTTAATTTTAATCTCAGCTGAGGTGTTGCGTGCCTATCCTCTGTGCTATACTGTAGGACTGATCAATGATTTGATCTACGAAAAAGAGAATAACTCAAATATTCAATGAAAAACGTAGAGAAAAAGCAATTTACTTAGTTTAACAAACCCATGCCTTATTGGCTGGATTTCAATAATGTATGCACGAATCGATTGAATTGCATGCTAAAGATTTGTTGTGTAGAGGCAATATCAAAAGTACCGACCTTAAAACCGTAAAAAAAAAAAAAAAATGAAGAAAGCCTAAAATAAATGAAAAATAAAACTGAAATAATAATCTAAGGCTTCGTTTATGTATACAACACTGCTATCTCTCAATTTTTCTCCTTCTTTAACAGAAAATTATAATTCTAAAAGTAACTCTTTCTAGTTAAGAGAAACTAATCAAGTTATAATCAGTTTCTGATCATATGCAGCTAAACTTTCAGTTGTTACTTAAAGTCGGAACACGAACTTGGCACTCTAAATTAACATTTCAATTTCATTTCATTTACAATTAAGATCTCCTCAGAATTCTTTCTAAAATTCGTAAAGGCAATTATTTATATAGGTTTCTTTTTCAACTTTCGGCTGTTTTGACTCCAAATAATATAGTCATGCAGTCACTAGATCATAATTGTCGGAGATATTTATACCGTTAATGGAAGCTCTCTTAATCGCTATCAATCGAGCTGAAAGACTTCAGTGCCGCTTACGACTGCCACTGCCTCATTGGTGATGTGACAAATAAAGCCCATTTGCGAAGTTTTAATATAGTTTACATTACACTGTGTGCAGCCCCGGTTTGCACTGAAGTGAGGCGTAAAAAACCGTATTCAGGAGATACGTCACTATCTAGAAAAGCGTTATAAATTATGTTTTTCAAACACTTATTCACTGGAGAGCGATATCCACCTTTTAAACCGGGGCAATTAGATACGGGATATAAATAAATCTCTGCGGTACCACCAGTGAGGCAAAATGAAAAATAAAGGATCTCGGTCTTTCACAATGATCGTAATAGGTAAAGCTATCATATCAGTAACAGTTAAAATTTAGCCATTTCAGCATTTTGTGGTACCAACATTTTTTCCTGGGTACAAAAATCCTAAAGTTATCACTTTTCAATCAATTTACTCGTTTTGAAAACATTACATGCGCGGTTTTTTGGCCACTTTAAAAGACCATTGCATGACGACAAAAAATACAATTTTTATTCTGTTGGATTTATCTACCAGACTTATACAACACAAAAAAGGAGACTGATTTAAAACTGTTAATTCCGAATCAAAACGTTTATCCTTATTGCCTTGTTTTCATTATTGTCTGTTACCATTTTACCGTTTGAAGGTTGATAATGAAAGCTGATATACAATCGCCTCTTTTACGCTACATCAAAGAGAACTTGACATTTTCGGCGCGCGTTTTATTCGCCTTTAGTGAGGCATGAAGTAAAATGGAAAACTGAACCGTTCAAACATCGCCGAGGGCCGTACGCATGATGGTGTGCTGACATATATCCGGCAGTGTAGATCATCAATAAAACGTCTTCCCACTTCAAAAGCACGGGGTTTTTCGGAACCGCTGAAGATGTATGAAATTTGTCAAGGTCATCATATGGTGAATATGCAAAGCAACTTTGTCTATGTTTGTGGACTTAAACTTTTAAGTCAGCTGTACATAGAATGCCTCGATGCAGTGATTATGTAATTTATATGGCTTTAATTGGGTGACGCGCTAGAAAAATCATGGAAGTCGAAGATTCCTTGTTCGTGACAGTTTTCTTGCTTGTTTTTATGTCCTTCCTGGCCTTATTTGCAATACTTGGTAATGGAATTGTTCTTGGTATCATTGCTCGGTTTAAGAAGCTTCGCACCTTTCCAAACATTCTGATTGCTAATCTGGCGTTGGCTGATTTTTTCAACGCGTTCATCAATATACCCATGTACTTGCTTTATGCAGTCCTGAACGTAAAATGGTTTAGAGGAAAAACTTTAGCAATGATTTCGATTTTCTCATTCTCACTCCTTACCTTTGTAAATGTCGTTTCCATGTTGGTGCTACTCGTAAATATGTTTCTGGTGATAACATTTGACGTAAAATATTTCACCTGGAAAACGAATAAAAAAGCCATCATTATGGTCCTTGTTGAGTGGTTGGTCGGGTTTAGCTGTGCTGTTTTGTTGTGTCTTAATTGTGATGTCGATCTTCAACAAGATGCTTCTGTTTCAACGTATCGTAATGAAGTTCTGGGTAAAGGCAAACCTATTGCGGCAGCCATCACCTCGGCGTTGGTGGTCATTGCAGTAGTCCTTAGTGCCATGATTTTCGGGTCAATTCAAAAGATGAAACGCCAGGTGAGTCTTTTTTTGCTTTAGAATGATTTTCTACATTAAGTGATAAACTGCGTGTCTTAATTTAGTTTCTTGAACTTTTACGAAAAAGTAATGCAGACACGCATCCCCTACTGGGAATCGAAAGTCAGTTCTATTTTTCTTTGTTCACTGAGATGAAATAGCACATAAAATGCAAGTACTCTGGGATTCCGCTAAGGCGATTCAGGAAATATGAAAACGATCAGCTCTTTTGAATTAGACAAAAAGGCTGATTAAGCTGATTCGCTGGTACGTAAAATTGCCTGTAGGCGAAAAACTTCAGTTCGCACACAGCGCCCTAAAAAGTGTCTTGCAAACCGAGGGGAAGTAAATCACGACTGACCGACCTAATGTAGCTCGTCCCAGGAGACTGTGTAGTAGAAGAGGTCGAAAATTCTCTTCGTTGGCACTTTAATTTGGGGTAAACTAGACCTACGTTTAGCTTCATTTATCCGTATACATAATTACTCTATTACTTCATTTTCTTACCCATGGTGCTCCGTTGGTGCGCATAATAGAGAGTTTTAGATCTGAGTTTACCGCGAACCTCTAACCACTGGAGGTCACGTGATTGAAGTCTTTCGCGTCACGTTTGAGGTTTACGACGTGCGTTTTCAATGTGGGGAGGTAGGTTTTCACGTATGCCATTTACCTGAAAGCTTTTAGCGTATAATTCTTTTAAGAATTATACGCTAAGAATACAAAAATCTTGTGGAGCAAGTCTTTATCCATTAACAGAGGCACAAATCTAAATTTGATAAATCCTATTTGATCTTGAAAACAAGTGCCATTTATGGCTGCTGATTCAAAATGGCGGCCGTAATCTACTCCACCGCAAATCTAAATCGAACAAGACGCTACGGAGCGTACACTTCGGCGTCGTGGATGTGGAACTAATTAATTGTAAATACGGAGGAATAGTAAGAAATTAAATATGGTAAGAGTAAGGTGTTAATTTGTGAAATTATGGGATTTGTCAGGACATTCTGAAAAGAGCAACATCCAAGAGGTCTACTTGCCAAAAATTAGCATTTCTGGACAAATTGTCTCCAAGATATTAGCCCAGTTATGCTCTGATGACTCCATACAAATCCTTCTAAAAAACAATTCTCTATTTTTCTTAGTCACATCAGGCTTCAAAAACAGCATAGCAGTCTCATGTACTGATTTAAGATGTTTAAGGCATGGGTAAGGAGTCAATTACGTTGAGCATGGAATTGGCTAAAACTCAAAGTCACGAGTTCGAATGTTTTGAGGATAATTATTCACTGACTATCAGCACGCAGGGATGTCGGATTAACACAAGGAAGTTTAACACCAAAGGAACATAGCCTTTACAGAGCTTTAAAACACAGCATCCACCAACACAAACTTGACTTGAACTTTGAGTAAAACTAAACAGCCTCTACCAATAATAACAAACTGTCACTTGAACTTCAGATATCTTACGGCTTCCGCGAACTTAAAAACACAATACCTGATAATCGACCTTCGTCACACTTGACTAAACACAGCAGTCCAGCTCGTGGGAAAAAACTTAGTTCTTCAAAAGAACTCGCTTGGAACTTGTATACCGTTTGACATAAGGTTCTAGAAAATACTAAACAGCAGGCAAATAGTAGTAGCTTTTCGACATATTTTATGATTTCAGTAACTGATGCAAATCTGCTGACTATTACTGAAATGTAAACATGCCCTATTTAATTATTCATGGGTAATCCAAAAACGTAGAGAGCGTTCGAGAAAGTCTTTTTGCAGCATTTTGTAACTTTAAATTCATCATAAAACAGTTCGAAAGGAGGGCTCACTCGTGAAATGTTTTTCAACACTCGAAGAGAAATTTCGTGTCTCTGCACGGCCACGAAATATCCTCTATTCATTCTTCGAGTAATTAAAGACTAAACTCGAAGTGATCTCAAGATATCATCAAGTAGTCCGGTCTCATTTTGTGAAATAGTTGGAACAAGCCGAAAAGTCACGAACTTGCACGCCCAATCTTGTCCCGAAACTAGTGCATCATTTCATTACTATTTTTCACATCCCGAACTACCTTGGGTCGCAGTAGCGCAATCGGCTAATCCCTCAACTTAGAGTCTCCTCTGATCTGACGGGTCACACAGGGGAGTCGGTTCAAACCCCGGGAAAGCCAAAATAAGAATTCTTTCTTCCTCGAAAAAGTTAAAGAATATATCAAAGAAATCGAAGTGAAATAAAATAGACTTCGTCAAATAGCCAAATAAAACCGAAGAACTACAGACTTTGCATGCCCAATCTTGTCAAAAAATTGTAACTTTGATACATTCCTGAGCGTCGCGAAACCTTTACTTCGCGCTCCGCCGAAGTAATTATGTTTAAACGTCCAATCGCAAACGGGTAACCGCAAACCTCGGTTAGAGATTCGCGGTAAACTCGGATCTAACTGAACTCTCTAATAGCGGAGCTCTGGCGCGCGAAGCACGCCAGGTAGAGCACAGAAGAGCTAGAGCTCCTGTAGAGCACCATGCGTAAGAAAATGAAGTAATCCACCCATCCGAGAAAATTTGGTAATCACGTGACCGTACACCGACCGCGCGCCCCAGAGACCGTCCGTCCGCACCACAGGTATACCAATGTAAAATAACTCAATCAACAGGTATCGAAACCAAAAGGCAACTCGAGGTTATTTTGACGGGAAATCGTATAGCCACCGGTGTCTTGTAAAGCAGAGACAACAAAAGAGTCAATAAAGACGAAAACGGAAAGCGGAAATTGTTTCCGTATCCGTGTTGTCTAAATTATTAACATGGCTTAGATAAATTGCCATGTCCACAAATTTGGAATATAGAGCAAGAGAAAGACAGAGAAAAAGAGAAAGTGGGCGGCAGGTCAGCGAAGCTCAACGAGAAAAAGGGCGACGGGGATTTAGAGCGAGAGAAAAAAACCTGAAAGGAGACATTTTTTTGTTGGAAGAACAACATGAAAATTTTGCAGCGGCGGTGACAAAATAAGAACTACTCAAACCTGTTGTGCGAGAAAATACAAAGGGTGACAGGCCGCACATCTATACGGGCGTGGCACCCTCTGTTAACCTTTTTTTTTGGCTCTAACGAACATGTCCTTTAATGATTTTCCTTTTTTGTAAGGAAATGATTGGTGGCTCTTTAATTCAAGCTTCCTTTATAGTAGACACTGTCAGAGGGCTGGTATTGTGTCACGAATGGCAATATTTCTTTTTCCTCCTTGTTGTTTTGTTTAAGGAGTTTAGACTCCCTATTGTGAATTTTATTTCTGATAGTAAGTTTTCTATCAAATATTGTAGGTAGCCTCCGTCCATCAAACGTTTTTTTTTAAATTTTGAATTATTTTCCTCAAAGGTTGTTTCTGAGGAGTTTTTTTGTAGGATTCTGAAGACTTCTCCTTTGACAAATCCTTTTTTAACACTTGGAGGGTGACACGAGGTGAAATGTGTGCAAGAAGGTTTTCTGTTTGTTTAAAACGTGTCTTTGCATCAAGGATACATATTTTTCCTTGAATCTTGTGCCTTTGTATACAACCGGGTCTAAAAACGCAGTCTCAGTGTCAAATGTTTTGGCCGTGAATTCAATAGTTGGGTGATGTAAGTTTGCTTGTTCAATGAAGGCTTCAATGTCTGGTTTACTCATGTCCCATATATATAGGGAAAAGATATCGTGTATGTAGCATTTCCAAACTGTTGTTCTAAAGACAGTTTTGCTTTGAGTTGTTGTTTGAATATATGTCATGAAAATATTGGCAAAGGAATCAAAACTGCTGTCTTCGTGCCCATTGCAGTTCCATGGTTTTGTAGGTAGTGCTTTCCATTGAAGTGGAAGCAATTTTCTTTGAGGATTTAGCATTTCCAGCAAGTAATGTGTAGGAATGGGTAGTCTTTGTAGACGTTTTCATATGCTTTGTGACAGACAATTTCAATATACCCTTGTTTTGCTGTATATTTGTGTCAAGACTCATAACGTCCATCGAAACAAGAAATAATCGGTTTTTCACATTTGTCTTTTCAGTGAAAGGTAAGATTTCTGTGATTTTGATATTTGTTGTAGCAGTGTATCAACAAATTTTATCAGGCCGCAGAGAACAAGGTTTTATTGGATTATTAAGAGGAAACCAAACATCCTTGTTTTAACTAGGGGGTGGGTCATGCAAGTTCCAACCTTGCTTTAGGGGTGGGTCAGTCATTTTTGTGCTGAAGGGAGGGGGTGGGCCACGTGTTTTTTATCAACCACATTTCCAAATGCTCCGACCCACCCCTCCCTATACTTTTTGACCAGTCCCTTACAAAAAAGATGCTGTAATAAGATCTGTGAGTAAAAAAGTGGATTGTTGCATTGATGCAAAATATTATATACAAAGTTTCAACAGTTCCAAGCGCAGTTCGATGTGAATCTTTATTACTAGTTGTCCATTTGAGTAATTTTAGCTTGTAAGGTAATAACTTTTAATTTATGTAATTATATGTAATTGCGTTAATCAGTTCGGTTACAGTTTATTTTCTTGATTTTTCCCGGTAAATGGACCACCTTCCGTAAGCAACCACTTTGTCGTGAACCAAGGGTGGTCGCGTACGAGAGAGTAGACTGTAAAATAGGCAAGCCCGTAAATGAAAGAGTTCCGGAAACTGTGAAAGTACTTCAGGTCTAGGGAAACAGAAAATTAAAAATGATTATTATGATCCTGGTTGGCCAGATCAATTTATTCCATCGCCAGCTAGTCAGAAGACAAAAGACAAAAAGCCCGTGGACTCGGTAACTGATACAAGTACATTTGCTTGTAGGCGCAAAACATCATTTTAAGCACCGACAGCGCCCTAAAGATGCAACTGTCTCAAAAATGAAGTAAATCAAGGCGAACTTATTGTAGCCATTGTCAATGCAGATTCATATGTGTATTCAGTTTGCAAAGGTATAGAAATTGAATATCCCTCAAAAACTTCACAATTTTCTTGTTGCAATTTTAACTGAGCATCTACTATAGAAGTTTATTAAAAACTGAATCATTGGATAATGCAATTCTAGCATTTTGATTGGGTTAACCGTTATGGTATATGAGCTATTATACCATGCTCTCCATATATGGCCGGTGTACGCTTCAGTTTAAAATTGGAAGCTAGCTGAGATTTTTTTTCGCGAAGGATAGAACGGCGCCCGAAGCAAATCGTTTTAATTCATTTCTTAGAGTACTAGAAATGCAATTTCATCGAAAGAAAAAAGACCAAAACAAACAAAAAAGTCACAAGAGTTTGTTTGAAAGTTTGTCGAAAAACACATGAAAACACATGGAACTAAAGTACCTTGAAAGAAGACAAGTGTTGTTTCTTCATGATCACGAAGCCATTCGTCGATCGAGTCACTCGCCGATAGATAACTGCGGCTTGTTTATCCGACATCAAGAATATATATCACAAGTAACCAGCTACAGATACAGGCTATGCAGCCATTCACTAGAGCAATCGAGGCGGTAGTATAGCTTCTTTTCTCGTTCAGCAAAACCAAACAACTTCATAACAAGCGACCAAGGTAATAGTTTTTCTCCGTTGTTTTTACTTTCATAACTGCACCGAAAATCCAAATTCACAGTAATTTCGACGGCTGTCACTTAAAAATTCTTTTCCTTGACATTATCTGCCAGGTTTTTTTTAGCTGTTCTGCTTTGTAAAATCCTAGAATCCCGATGAGTTTTTAAAAAACCATGGATAATAGATTCTATTGTCCATGTAAAAAACTTATGTTCATCGCTACAATGTTTTGATTTTTCATTCATGCAGTCCAGGCGAGTCCGTTCGCGCGTTGACAGTTTTGATAGACGTGTGACATGTGAATAGCGGAAGTCCCTTGTCTTTTCCGGTTTGTTCTGGTCCGGGAGATTCAACGAGATTTTGTGGGCGTTTTTAATAAAACAATTATTCCACTCGCGCTTGTTGGATATGAGATGATTATAGCCAACTCGGCGCTACGCGCCTCGTTGGCAATCTCTCATCTCATATCCAACGCGCCCTCGTGGAATAATTGTTAAATAGTATCTTTTATAGATCCGATATGCTGTAATTCGTGCCATGTTTTTGCACAAGTAGCCCAGGCCCGAACTATGAGCATCGGCGAGGATCGGCATTGTTGCGTAACATTAAAAAAGGTTTACCTTTATATAGAGAGAAAACCGTTTACATAAAAACCCATAAAACGGCCATAAACTGGCCCGTGGACCACACAGGAGAGACTTAACACACATTTTAAGTAAGGTAAGCTGTTTTTTATTAAAATCCTTTCATTTTCGTAGATCAGAAACAATAGTTTTTTTCCCACACAAATCCATATATTTTGAATGTTACGCAACGATGTTGACGCTCGCCAATTCTTAAATTTTTCTCTGCGAGACATCAAATTGACACTTGGAGTCTTGCCCCGCAGAAGACACGTGGTATGGCGTGGTTCTGTGGGTGTTGGGTGTTCTGGGTCAGGGCTTAAAATCAGAGAGCGCGGATATTTTTCATCAGAGCTTTCTCTGGTTGTTTCGCCTTACTGATGAGCCCCCAAAAGGGCGAAACAGCTGTCTATGGAGTACAATCCCGTTCTGTTTTGAGTTCTTTCGGTGTCGTGTCGATGTCTTGCAGAGTTAATTTTCACGTAGTACGATCAGCATTGCAGTATTCCGCTTGCAGAATTTAATATGTCTACGTTATTATTTTGCTTGTCAGGTCTTTATAGATCCTACGTTCTTCGGCATTTTCGCTTGCAGTCCTTTGCAGCCCTTTGTGGTTAATGTTTGTACTTATAAAACTAAGTTAAGTTTAGTTTAAATATGTCATTACATGTGATCACACTGTAGAACTATCAGTTCCATTTACATCTTAAATATCCGCAAAATGTTTTTTCATTTCTAGAGAAAGCAGCTAAACCTGCCTCGACTCCAGGTTGAGGCCAGACTGCAAAAGGATATTCAAGCAGCTAAAGTTATTATCATTATTGTCTTTGCATTCCTTGGGTGTTACATTCCGCCCCTCTGCATCATGGTCTGGCATCGGTCCAATTCTCATTCCACTGATAACAGTTGGAATTATCACTTAGTACACACCAGCATACTCATATCCAATGGGATCAATCCTGTCATCTATTGTTTCAGAACCAGCAGGTTTCGCTGCGCACTGAAACAGCTTCTTAATGATCCTTGCGGGAAAACGGCTTTCCAAGAAATCAAACAGGAGCAACGAGCCATAGAGATTATCCCAAATCGGATTGCACGAGGTGACAAAATTGCGCGCGAACCTGACCAAGACAGATTCAAAACCGCGCTGGAACCTGATCAGGACAGATTCGAACGTACTTCCTGTCCATCCCTTTTTCAATGGGTTAGTAATTCTAACTGCTGCACCGGGAGAATGGGTCGGGTTGCACCACGGTTTCAACAAAAGAAAACCAGTGAAAACAACAACGAAGAATCGGAACTGCGCGCTGATAATAAAGCCACGCCCTTGACAATACAAGTACAGGAGTCACAAACTCAGATAGTAATCCCGCCGACAAAATCAATGGATAACGAGAATTATGAAGAAAAACTCTCCAGAAAAGAGCAACCCACATTCAAAGCAAATGACTCACGCCAGGAGGTTACTGTTGAGGTACATTCTAAACGTTACCATAGTCTACCTAACTTGAGGAAAAATTAAAGTAGCAGAAACTTCAACATGCACCAAGGAATAATGTGGCCACGCTCTTCACGTGTTTCGCTTTGAGTGACTTCGGAAATAACCGGAAATAAGCTAATGGACGGAGAGGGAATGCAAGTATCATGCACACTTTACTTCTAGGGCAGCTAGAGATATAGATATGTGAGATTGATATTTTGAAAAAGGAATTAAGCAAGAGAGCTTGATTAATATACAGGCATGGACACTCAATTTTGATTGGATTGAAAAAAAAAATAATTGAAGACAAAGAATAGCCATAGTTGTTTTAAAATAGATTAATTCAGTGTTTCGGACTCAGTTCCGGACTTGTCGCGCACTGCAAAACATGTTTCGAGCTATCGAGGGTAAAATTGTATAGAAATAATCTGAAGGGAAACAAAAATTGTTGCGGGTTAGAGGGAGGTTCGAGTTACCGAGGGTAAAATTACAGTAAATGTACGGTATGTAGGAAATCCGGGAGAAATCGACTTTGCTTCGAGTTAGCGCGAGGCTCCAGTTAGCGGGGGGTTCGAGTCATTGGAGTCAACTATACTGTCCTACACAAGACGGCACAAATTGAAAAAATCAGATAGTGTAATTTTTCCAATTAAGTACCCCCTTTGCTTGTCTTTGTTCGGAGCAAAAAATAAATTAAAAAGTAAATAAATTAAAATTAATGAACAATGTCATAACACACTTAGATTGAAGCACGTTTTAACAAGACATTTAAGGCAACGTTTCTGTTGTTGCAAAAGCATCTTTATAACGTAACAAACGCAAAGCACGCGCTCTGATTAGTCAATTACTTGTCAATTACCCATTTACGTTTTGCTCTGGGTGAATGGTGACGAAAGCTAACGCGCGCTCCAAGCCGTACGCGCCACTTTCTACGCGACTATATTTTTTTACCTCACGGTTTCCAAAGATTTTTCACATCATACCGAAAGAAAGTTTAGAAAGACCGTTAACGATAACAAACTAGTTATTCATCAGCAGGATTTTTTTCAAAAGAAAAGAATTTGCAAAGAATGATGCGCACACGCCATATTACAGCAATCACGTCATGATTCCCCCGCTATCTGTGAGCACTAAGAGTAATTGTTTGCCTTTCATTGTGATATACAACAAATGATAAACGGCTCAGCCTGTACTGCTGAGTTATAGGAGCACTTGGGAGGATTGCCAAGCACTTAAGAAACTAGAGTTGCACTCGGGCTATCACCTCGTGCGAATCTTACGCTTCTTTCATGCTAAGCAACCTTCCACGTGCAACTATTTAACAATTATTCCTCGAGCCCAAATGGGCTCTGAGTCAATAGCTGATGAGGCCGAAGGCCAAATGGGCCATCGACTCAGAGGCCATAACGGCGAGAGGAACAGTTGTTTTAGTAAAATCCAAGTAAATATCAAGACAAAACAACTTTAGCTAGTTAGAGCTAGGCTATAACATATAGCCTAGTAGTATCTCAACCAATCAGAACGCAGCATTGATAATAGACCACTAGCTGGATTTTTACTAACACTCAATAGTACACGCTCAGCCGTTTACCATTTGTTACTTGCGTTTTCTCATTGTGACAGTGGCCCTGAATTATTAGTAAGGCAACCTATCGGTCTTTGCAGTTGGACATACTAACCCGATACTACGAACAATTTTTCAGAACAGAAAATTATGTAACCACCATTTCAACAACTCTTGGGCTTTCCCCGACGCTCTTTTGAGCAGTTTTTACAGATACACATTTGTTACGTAGGTACTAGTTAATCGTTTTTTTCCCCAGCCTTTTCGCTCGTTTTAGTAATTTAAGGCCAAATCGTGTCATTTCATACTCTAAATAACATTCCTCTCGAAAACAGGGAGCTTTGGTTACCCTCGGGAAATAATATGCGAGAGGAAAAGAATGATACGGCAAAAGGAGGTAAAAACATAATGCATTTATTACAAATTTTACAAATTTATTAACGTTCTAAACGCGCTCCCTTTCCCATATATAAATATTATTAAGCTATAAAATAATTTGGCTACCCCAAGCTCTCCATTTCGAATGGCGATAAAAGCGGGAGACAACGCCCGAATGAGCGGCAGAGCCCGCGCCTCGCTCGCTCTTTCGCGTGTAGCTCAAGTGACCTCTCTAGATATTTCCCAAATGAGGAGCGTACACGCAGGCTGCAACTTAAAAGACTAAGAACTTTCGGACGCTGGGCTCACACTGGCCGCGCAGACAATGAGCCTGACATTTTTCACTACATGTGTTTGCACTGTGAGTTTGTTACTTGAAGTCTCCGCTTCCGGTGTTAATAGATACACTGATCTGTTACCCTGTAGTGAGAAATAAGAGAGAGGAAAAGAATGGTCAGTAAATGGGAGAAATGGAGGGGAATTATGTTGTTTGTCTTGGTGAAAAGTTTAGACTGTTCATAGTCCACTTACTACCCCGATATGGAGAGGGAAGGATAAGGGATATGAAATGAGACTAAGTATTATATAGGGGCAGGAATTTAGGTGGTTGACAAGATGTTGGGGAAGAGTTTAAGTGTTTGTGACCGGCCGAGTAAAAGGCAGGAGAATCAGAAAATCCAGCGTGTCATCCTGTCAAAGCCTCCTCTTCACCCCTATTTCCCCAAAGACCTTCTGTCCTCTACTGAAGTAACCTTTAGACGTACCTGTACGAGTGGATATTGAATGCTGTCGTTCAACAAAATAGTCCGGACGCCATTGTCACCACCGAAACTGAGGCACACTACGTCACCATTAAAATCTGCTCTCACACAGAATAATATCACTTTGGTACCTGAAAAGAAAAAAAACTAATAATAAATATACAAATAAATGAATAAATCTTCTTATGGAACATACCATCTCCATCAGAGAGATTTGATTTTGGAGTCAAGAGATAGAGTCCTTCTTGTCGGCCACTTTGTTAACCGTTTTAGTCAAGCTGATTCTTACTGTTGATGCGCCACGTAGGTAGTTGATGCAGTTGACTGCTTTACCAATAGATCCTAGTTTCCATTTGTTTTAGGCACTCAGATTTCTCCATAACAGTTTGTATTGCTCTGTTCGTTACGTTTTCCCATGAAAAACTTCGAAAGGACAAGGGTTGCATGAATAAAGGGATCCATCAAATTTTATTAAGTGCTTGTTTTCTTGTTAAGAACACCTTTCTCGTGCATAACTTATCACAACCCACTTTTAGAAATGTAAAATTCCATGTGACTTGTAGAAAGCCTGAACATACCAAGAAGTATGATATACCAGTGGCAAAGGTTCTTATATGCGGGATTTTACTGCAGCTCATAACAATAGTGATACTAGTTACCTTGAGGAACTTTAGAATGATTATAAATCAGGGGAAAGTTCAGGATATCTTTCTCCCCCGGGGCAATACAGCGGTACGGCATTAGCAGTGGAAGGCGTAACGTCCCGGCTGCTCCCAGGCACTTGCCTAAAGCTATATGTAAAGTATTCGCCAAACTACGAGAGATGGAAAGAAAGAAACAATTACTCTTGTAAAGCATCACCCTCGGGAATAGCATGCCAGCTTACCGCTTAACCCTTTAAGCCCTGAGAGTGATCAACAAATAGTCAATCGCCTACCGATATCAGCAAGATAAGGTAAGGAGGGCTGGGAAGGAGTCAACACAAACCCGTAGCTGGCTAGACAACATGTTGCTCAACGAAATCTGCTCTATTAGGAGGTTAGTTTCTGAAAAATCTCTGGTGCTACGTCGGTGTGGAAGTGAAACACATACCTAAAAACAAATGATAAAGTTTAGTTACAATCCTCGTTAAGTTACAAACCTCTCTTCATGATCCGAGAGCAATTTTTGTATCTCAAAATGTTGGTTTTTCAGTGCAATCTGCATTGCTGTCAGCTCGTAGCTGGTTGTAGCTTTAGTATCGACTCCATGTCTTAACAAAACTCCTACTACATCCTCGTGGCCCTTCTTACAAGCCTGTAAGAAAAGGAATGAGTAAAACAAATGAAAGAGAATGATATAGCGAAAAGTGATAAGGAGAGAAAAAGGAACCACTTGAAACCAAACTGGATGGCGGTTAAAAGAAAATCATGAATTTACAATCCCTTTGTAAGCGCCTTAGGCTCTGTTCAGACTATCCTGGATAGCTCTTGCGCCGGCGCGAAAACCATCTCTTCTGTTCACACTTATGAATGGTCATTTCGGCGCGGTTTCTGTAACGGAGTGGAGCTATGCCGCGCCGATCTCGAAGGTAAAGCGTCACATATCGGATAGGCGAATCCTTGTTTACATTTTTGTCTCATTAGCATAGGCTTATCATTATCTGAGGAAGCTAATAAAGTGAAGTTTCCGAATATTGAAAGAGCATGACAATTTCAGTTATCTCTGAATATTTGAGCGCGATATACCGAATAGTTTCAGACAAATTCTCTTTAAAAATCCCCCAAATTTACAAAGAATGTATAAGCGCATTAACGGTTTGCCACCCAATAATTTTGCAGTTTTTAATTGCTGCTATTTTCTTTGCTACTGATTACAAAGAGCTGAAACTTGCACAAACTCCATAAATTAACCAGCTCTTTTAATTTTTGAACCTAATTGGTATACAGCTATTTCGAGAAAGGTTGTCGGAAAAAATGTGCACGCGACAATTCCGAAAGGTAATATGGGATATCATCAATACACTGTTCCTGACACTGTAGCTGTCGAACCTACTTTTTTTGCTTTCCTTTAGCACTCGCAAACATATATCCATGGCCTCTCGTGCCATTCTTTCAAATTTCTTTGAATAACAGTGAACTCAAAACTACCCACAATACTTTTCGGGATTGTCGCGTGGACTTTCTCCGACAACCTTTCTCGAAATAGCTGTATACGGCTACATCTTCTATGGGCTAACTCGTATGCTAATGAGCAGAAATGTAAACAATGACGTCACAATGAATCCGTCTAAGGTTCTGTGCCACACTTTGGTGCAGTTAGGTGCAGTGTGAACAAAAGTGTGTTCGGACCGTAGCGAAAGTGAACAAATAGGAGCGAGGACTGGAACACACCTGTCAAAACGAAAAGCTACCGGTATCAACCCGGCATCCGGCATAGTGTAGGTTGTAGACATTGCCTTAGGTTTTAATTTTTTTTACCGATAAAACTCACCCTTATAAGCGCCGTTTCTCCTGCAGTGTTTTGCCAATTAATGTGAGCTCCAGACTCCAAAAGAATCTGCACGGTTTTAGGATAACCCTTAAGGAAAAAGAGAAGAGAAAGAGTTGAAGGAAAATTATAAAAATGCTTTAAAAATGAACTGAATAAGATGTCCAGCGAAGGATTATTTTTGTGAAGAGATAATTTATTGTTATTCAGTTATTTTGCTTTCGCTGATAAAAATGTGAAAAGCCAATGTAGAAATCATGTATTCTTTAGTCTTAACTTCCTTAAGCCGAAAACAATTAGTTGATTTATTGAGCGTAAACTTATTTGTCAAGTCATAATTGTATTTAGTCTTCAAACTGTAATCAACCTGTAAGAAGCCGTTATCCACCTGCGTAGCTTTTGAAAGTAATTAATGTTTCAAAACAAGCTTAGGTTTCCACCAATAGTCTTTTAGAAATGATTGTTGTGCTCTGTAATTTGACTCGTTGAGTTGTGATGTAATCTGTATCCTTCGCTAGCTTAGGCTTAAATACGAGTGCTTTTGTAAGAGCTTCTTCGGTTACGTCCTGGTTACATCCAGGTCCATCTAGTCCTGGTTACATCCAGGATCATCTAGTCTTCGTTACATTTGGTTGGTTATGTTCCTGACTCTTCCCGCAGTATAGTCTTGGATTAAACCTCTACATTGGAGCCAAGTTCTGTTGTATTCATTGTCTCAAGGGTATTCAGCAGGCGTAAGAGATTCCGTGCCTTCCCGCAGCCAGCGAGTGTCCCCAGGAAAAGGCCTTTCCCAGAGAGTTTTTAGAGTTTTTCCCCGTCCGTCAGTTTACCCCTTTGTGAAGGCAAAACCTGTTTTCACATTTTTGACATATCATCAAAATTTAATTTAAGACAAGCAATAATTATGTTATTTGTATGTGGTGACGAATTATGATTGCAATCGTGGATTTTTGACACGATTATCCTGGTTTTCTCGCATCGATCGGAGAACTCCACGTTCTCAAACTGAGTTTAGAACTTAAATTTGGCTTAAGTTCAGAATTTTCGAATGTCTCTTCAAATTACCTGTTAGAATCCTTCTTGAATAATGCAAGTGCTCTTTCGTGTGTTTAGGTTTTCCAAAGCGTCTTAATTCGATTTAATGCCCTAACATCTTCATTCATAAAATTTTAAAACCTCGTCGCCATCTTGGCACTGAGATGTACGGAAGGTTGCCTTAGGAATTTTGTAATTAGGCATAGGCAAACGCAGACGGGAACATAATATCGATCGGGGTAAGCATGTTTCAGCTTGTTTTGAAACTATTAACGAGAGTCAACAGCAAACTCAACCCAAATCCTGAGCGTTGCTGCTGGGACTTGAACTCGAGCCTGTAGCCGACAACTAAAAAAATACATTACGATAGGTTTCGGTCCTACTTCTGATCGGTTAACAAGGTAGCGCGAATCGGCTAATCAAAAAGCGCAGCACGAAAAACCCAAGAAACTCGCTAAACTGATTTTGAAACAATTGAAAAGCGCAATGAAATTAAAAATAGCGAGCTTTAAAGTAGCCACGACGATAACATCAACGACAACTACGAAAAACAAATGGTTTTATGAGCCAAACAACAGCTCTGCACGTGCATCACTCTTTTTAGTACATTTCTTTGACGTTCAATGAACTTCTACGACGTGACACCTCCTATAATGCGACGTTTTGTGGAGGACGTAAACATACCACGACGAATTTCTCTTTCTCTTTTTGAACCTGGATAAAGTGCTTAAGAATTCAACTCCAGCAAAAATCGCTCACATTTGACACATTGAGCGGGTCCAAATAGACGCGATTAAGTTTGAGAGGATGCAATTTCATTTTTTAAGCGACGTTTTCTTTGCCGTCCACGTCGTTGCTTGAGGTCCATAATGATGCCGGAAAACTGCCCTTCATCATAGTACGTAGTCACGGTTGCCCCTTACCTGTTCGGCAGCGTGTATAAGCGCCGTCATAGAGTTCCTTTTCTCCTCAGTATTAACACCAGCGCCTCTCCTGATCAGAAGCTTAACGACCTCATCTTGCCCATACGTTGCTGCCCACATGAGTAGTGTCATACCGGAAGCGGTGTCAATCATATCCGGGTTAAAACCGGATACTGCAAGAGCTCGTCTAACCAGCATGATGTCACCTCCTCGAATGGTTTGCTTTAGATCAGCTTCACAACGAAAAGAAAATCACATTAACGAAAAAGGCTTTTTCAATTAGGGGTCGCAGTTGAGTCGAGAGTTAGCTGTGAAATTCATAGCCTGAGAAAACAGCCGACATTTCGCGAAACCACCACTTGTTTAATACTCATTTCTTGCTGTTATATTGTATTGTTAGTTAATCACTAGTCTTAATTTTTATAAATTGTAATTATCACACGGCATGTCTGAAAACCAGCTTGCTGAGCCATTTACCGTGTTTAAATAAAGTTGATTGATTGATTGATTGTTTCCCCGCGAAATGACGTTTGGGAAACGAGTGCCTACGCATTTGCTTCAACCAATCAGAAATACTACCCAAATCTGGGTGGTGACACACCGACAGTATGGAATTTCTACATTAGTTTCCCAGACGTCCTTTCGTAGGTAAAACAGGGTGGCGTCGCAGAATGTTGGCTGATTTCCCAGGCTATGAAATTCAACAAATGCAAAGCTTCGTTCTGTTCGTGCCACAAATATAGACACTTTGCTCAAAGAAGTTTTTTTCGCAGGCAAAGTAGACAGAAATGGCATCGTTTTAGCCATTTTGAATTAAACATTTTCTTTGAACAATACTTCTTCGACAGAAAAAGCAAAGGAAAATTACACTTTGTTACAAATCGTGTCTTTCTTACGGCGTTTTCAAGACTGTTGCGTTATCTTCTAGAAAGTTTACTTTCTTACCCCATGACAAATTCAGCGGTTCCATCGTGGGGGAAGATGATCGGTCTGGTACAACAGATTCCTAGAGACAGATAAAAAAAACCAGTTCCATTGATTGACAATAAAAGGATGTCACTAAAACGGAGAGAGGGGGAAAAGGGCATGGGGAACGCCGGAGAAAAAGAAAAATGGGAACAAACCCTAACTTAAACCCAGCTCTATCAGTAACTTCATTTCCAATTCTCTGCTTGCTTCCCATTTATCAATTTCCCCTTCCCCGCGCTCCTTCTCAGCCCCCCGCGATTCTTCCCCATGCCCTGTTTTAGTAACATCCACAATGGAGAGGGCATATGACGTCATGTTGCCATGGTATCAAAATTTCTGAATGACAACCAACCGAAAACTTCACGTAAAAAGTCGAATTCACACTGTTTCAAACTTCATAGATCGTATTCAATTTCAGTTAATTCGTCAAATGTTGGCGAAATTGTATGGGGTTTAATCCGAAAGGACCCTATCTAAATTTGGAAAAAGAAAAAGAAAATTTTTGTGTTGCATTCACGTACTTCATGAAGGGGGCGCGTGAAATTAGGAAGTTTCATGTCGAAGTCGTGCAACGACGGCTAAGAAATGTACAAAAAATCGCGATGCACGTGCAAAGTTGTTGTTTTGCTAATATTAACCATTGTTTTCTTACCACTCTTTAAGCTTCCAAAAATTTTGCTACCATGGTAACATGACGTTACAGTTCTCTCCATTAACAATTAACAATTTTCGCTCCATCCTCTAGGTCTCGGTCGTTTTTTAGAAGGGGGAGGCGTGGGTAGTAGCTTGTATCGTAGGACGATGCTCTGGGACCTCCACCCTCCCCTTCAACCTGTTGACATGCTTCACTAATGCTTGCATAAACAGTTTAACAATGAGAAGCCTGCGAGCAAGCTCTCCATTTGGGGGAGCCGCGAGTAGTCACCCGAGAGCCGCACGCCAAAGGAGACGGCGGTTCGCTTCGCTCGCCATACCTGGAGAGCTTACTCGCAGGCTAAACGATGAGGAGCAAAGTGTTCAACCATAAGAGAGTTTGGTCGCCTTAATGTATCAATTACAAAAAGAAAAATGGGTTTGCTTACCTTACCTTAGACTAAAGGATGCATCCTGGTAAAACGAAAGCTGTTATAAAGTAATATAGGTCTGTTCAAGTTACACGGTGTAGACTCCCCGACTGAATCGGTTCTACTTTCCCCTCAATGAATTCATTTGATGCCACCTTCTTTGGCCAAATTTTGTACTTTGCAAAAGTTACCTTCATTATTACTGCAATTTTTTTCACACAAAGTCAAAAAAGATTTCTCGCGTTACTTCCTACAAGGAAAACTAGGTAAGCAAGTTACCTCCATGTCATTGAAAAAGGAATGCGGCGAGTAGTCATCAAGATCGAACTCAAAATCACTCAAATCGTCTTCTCCATCTGATATGTCCTCCATTCCACTGTCCTGTAATTACGACGACAAAAAATGTTGATCTAAAATTAAACTTTCAAGTCCTTTAGGGTCAACTTTTTTCTCTCATGACCCTCCCACCCGGGAAATCTTTTCGGATCAAAAGGTTTCTTGGAAACTGCCAACCTACCCCTTCCCTAAGCCAGCATTAACACTTACCAGGAGCCCTACACCTACTTTTCACTTAAAGCAAAATTTTAGCTTAGGGGAGGGGTAGGTGGGCAGTTTATCAGAAACCTAAATTGATCCATCTTTTCTCCATATAAAAGGGGCCTTAGGGGCCAACCATTTAACTCTTGAGGGGGGGGGGAAGGGGGGGTGGGTGATTTCTGGTCATTAAGAATTTTTTTTAGCAATCTGGTGGGCAGGATATTTTTTCCCATTAGCTTTCTATTATATTTGTGCTGCATGCAATTTTTTTCTTCCGACAAACGCTGGAAGAAATTTTTTTTTCAAAATCACCCACCCACCCCCTCCCCCCCCCCCCTTCCCTCAAGAGTTAAATGGTCGGCCCCTTAGGCAGTTATAACAAATTTATAAATATGTAAATATATCACCTGGCAAGGCGCATTTTAAGAGTTTTAAATTCTTGAATTTCTTGAGTTTAAGTTAGTCGATTAACTCATAGAGACAATTTTTATAACGTCGTTAGCCTAAGTTTCATAGCCTTGATCTGACGAGGGAAGAAGTTAAAGAAGTCACGAGGAAGTTGCGTAAAAAGAAAATATGTATATATTGATATTTTAATAAGTAAGTATGATAAGTAAGGGCCTGTTTACATGGAGGTGGGGGACCCCGGTCTAGTGGGGTTGGTTTCTTTTGTTTTCACGCTCTGGGGGACACAAAACAAAAGAAACCTACCCCACTAGACCGGGGTCCCCCACTCCATGTAAACAGGTCCTAAATGTGGAGTTGTACTTTTTTTTTCTCTTTGAATTTCTCGAGCTGTATACAAAATCATTGTCATTACATTTCGTGTTCTTCCGTGTTCTTTTTGTCTATATAATAAAAAGAACATTACACGGCGGCTTGAAGATATGAACTTTATTTTCTCGTGGCGAAAACAATACTGCGCTCGTTCCTAAAATACTGTGTTGCCACTCGAAAATAAAATTCATACTTTCGCGCCACCGTGTAATATCCTCTATATATTACTCTTTTCCCTTCATTTATGCTGTCGGCTTTGGACTTATTTGAAAACAATGCGACGGCTGTTGGCAATAGATACACAAAACTATCTTTGAAATAGACTGCAAAACAGTCCGTATTTTCGCGTATTCAAGTACGCGCAAACAGTCAAACAAAAGGTCTGGAACGAGGCTGAAAACGATTTCTTTACTGATTTTGAGAAAAAAACCGACTGTTTTGCAGTCTGTCTTTGAAAACGCGCGTTCTGCTGTATGTCGCAGCCAACCATGACAATGAAAACAACTATTATGACCTTAACAAATTAAGGTTTATATTCTTAAATTGCTTGAACTAAATCTCTTGAAGAAATATCAGTAGTCTGGGATACGTTCGTCGCAGAGTAATATTTTTACCTCGAATCACAGAAGTGAATCATTAATACAATGTGTTTACACAAGAACAAATTCTAATCAATAAATTATGCGAAAACCTGAAAATAGCTTTCTTTCAAACAGCTGATCGATGCATTAAATTAGGCGAGTCCGTAATTTTTAATTATCTGAAAACAACTCCGTAATGTAAAAATCTGCAATGAAATTGAAATTATAAGTTTTTTTGGAAATAAGGGTTATCATCGCCAACAGTATACATAAATATATTTACCAATCAGAACAGAAAGTGCCGCGAATCGGCACAATCTGCAATTATTCAAAATGATATGAAAATAAAATGAATTTATAAAAAAATAACACGTAATAATAAAAGTGGATCTCGTCGACACAATAACTTACCCAGGGTTTGTGTTTTTCTTTCTTATTTCTTGTCTTTTTCTGTGAGCCTTTTTTCTCGTCGGATTTACCGTCCTTTTTGCCAGCAGAAGTCAGCGGTACAGGTTTTGTTTTATTTTCGTCTATCTTTCCACTATCTTGTATAATCGCGCCGACAAGATCGCCATCCATGAGCGGAACTGAACTGGTCTTGTTTTGCATCGGCAGCAATTCCGCTGTCGTTGAAGCACTCATTTGTTTATCCGGCTTAACGAGCGCTTCGTTCATCACCCTAGTAATATTTTCCGTTATTGGTGACACGGCCGCGTTATGCGATACTCCAGTTGAACTATCGATTAATGCCCGCTTTCGTTTCATTTCCTTCATGGATCTTGGTAGTCCTGTAGTTTTTTTAGCCTTTCCTTTGGAACTTTTTTCGTTTATCCGTCTCAAAGTTGCGATGTCCGAATCACTGCATCGAACTGACGTGTCCGTCTTCGTTTCACTATTGTCTTCTTTATTGACACTTGCTTCAATTACTCTTGCTTGTAATTGCTCAAATGAATCAGGTAAAGTTGACACGTTCGAATTTTTGATCGACGCAGCCGTGACCTCATTAATACCACTTCTCACAGGATCCGTGATTTCTTTCTCAGAATTCGTTTTATTGCTGTTTTCCAAAGTCTGCGGGAGTAAATTCTTTCCCCTCATTGTTTCCTTGTACAGCGACTTCAAATTAGAAAACATAGAAGGCAGATTTATGGGATTTACCGAGGGGGAAACTTGGTTGGAATTTTCATCGGTCGAAGAGTGTTCGTTAAAAATTTTGGTTTTCTCAATCTGAAACACTTCCGGGGTCTTTTCAAGAGATTCTCTGTCAGTTGCCCCTTCCTCCGAATTAAAATCTATTGGAGGAAATGCATCGGTCTTTGAACTCGTTGTATTTTTCGTACTGAGTTCTTCAACAGAGTCTTTGCGAAGCTTCTCAAAATCATTTTTAAATTGAACACGCTCTTTGACTTTCTCTGGATTACTATTTTCGTTATTTTTCAAACGTGACTTTCCCGGCTTTATGCGTTTCTTTTTCAGCGTCGTTTTCGACGAATGTTGCACGGACTTCGTAGTCGACCCTTCCTTTCCACTCTCTGAATCACTTTGTGAAGATATGAGAATACATTCTGCTACAAATGGTTCGGAACTTTGCGAAGAAGTTTGTTCTTCCTCGTCTTCTGTGCCTTGCGATGAAATTTCAATTACTTCAAAACTGTTCTCTTCTGTTTCAACTTGCTTAGAGTCTTGTCGTTCTGCCTCAACAAAGTCATCCTCCTTCGTATCAGACAAAACGTCCTCAGAAATTGTCCAGCTCACTTCCGATTTAGAGTTCACCAAAGCTTCAGATTCTTGTTTCTTTCGAAGCGAGACAAGAGCAAGTTCTTTACTGGCCTGCCTTGTAAGTCCCAATGGGGCAATCTCGCCGTAATCAAGAAGCAAAAAATCTGTAGGCGAGATCCCAAACAAAGAATCGTCGTCTTTAATAGAAGATTTTCGTCTTTTGGTGGCCGTATTATGATCACTTGTCTCCGGAGATGTCGAGCTATACTGCTCTGCAGTGTCTGTATCGGAAAACAATTGCTGCTTTGGAGGACGACCTCTTTTCCGCTTTTGCTGAGGTAGAGCCATTTCTTTTTCCTGGTTGTTTAGATCCTGAAAACAAGAAAAAGTTCGCAAGCTGTTTAAGGAGCAATAATACTCATGGATTGCAGAGCGGGTAAGATTTCATGGCTTGGAAAAAAAGAATGGAAAAGAATATCTGGTTATGAACAAATTTCAGGACGACGAGAAACTTTGCTACATCCTTTGAGGGTTGTTACTTCAGGGTGAATCCAAAACACATACCTTCAAACTGAAGTAGCTTCCACTTTTAAAACGAGATAGTAACTTTCAAGTGCAAACAATGAGCAACTAAGAGTCGGTTTTCAGAAAGGCGTCTTGCGTGATAGCTCGCTCCAATTCTTTCATAATCGCGTGCTATATTTGCACGAGCTGCCGAAGACAGAATATGCCTATAGCGTCGTCTGTGCTACTTAACCTCAACATGGTTTGGAACAACTCGGCCAAGAGCTAAATTTGACAGCGTCGTAAGAAACGATGCTGGCTTAGCTTTCGCTATTCTTCGCAATGGAATTAAAGTTTTTTTTCGTACGTTTTCTTAACACCCTTCTCAACGCAGACAAAATTAGGGAACTTAAGCAACGACGAAGGCAACGGCAACGAGAACGTCAAAATAGCTACAGGCTTAGATTAGCAAAACAACAACTTTGCACGTGCATCACGCTTTTTTGTACACTTCTATTTCACTGCCACGTGAAAGTGCCTAATTTAACTTTTTGTCGAGGACGGAAACACAGGACAACATTCTTCTTCTTCTTTTCCCCAACTTTGATACAGTCCTTTAGAATCCAACTCCAGAAAATTTTGCCAACATTTGATGAACATATAGAACAAGATGGAATGAGCGCGATAAAGTTTAAAGCAGCGCGAACAGACGTTTTTTGACGGGACCGCCATTTTACGTGGTCATCCGAGCCACGCGAAGGTCCAGCCGCCTGCAGGGCAAAGGAAGTACCTTCATTTCTTAGTTATTTTAAGACCCTGAGTATTAGTCCGGCCCCGGGAATCGAACCCGCGACCTCCCGCTCTGCAGTCAAGCGCTCTACCGACTGAGCTAATCCTGCCGTGGAGTAAGGGAAAGGGAACGAAAGAGTCATTATTATTTGTTAATCCTTGAAATTGTAAACAAAAGTTGATAAGAAAGCTGACAAAAAATAATGTGATATTTAAATTCCAACGCGCGATTGAAAGGTAGAATTTGGCACAGTTTTTTTTCCCCGTGTCACAAACTATACATTTCAAATTTAAGGTATCACTTAACAAAAACTCTCCTTGGTAAATTAAAAGAAAACACATAAAGTGCGCTTTTGTTCCATTACGCACACTCGTGCAAATCTCTCCAGTTTTTGAGAAGACTGTGGGATCAAGGATGTTGCCAACAAGCTTTGTAAGTACTGATTTTCTGTAAACAAACATAATACTTACCTTTCGACCGTCTTCAGTATCACTTTCATCGCTATCTTCGTCCGTAGTTTCTCTAATTTGTTTCTGTAAGACGGAGGAAAGCCAAAATGTAAAAATTCAGCCTCACAAAATCTACTGAAACGTTCGATTACTTACAAACGTAAACTAGTGTCAAGGACTTCCTACCAAAGTGTACTTTAACTTTGTGTTGTTGGGGATGGTTCCAGCAACTCGCTCGCTGAGCGAAGATTTACCGTGAGTCTATGTTTATCAAGAGATCTCGGGATACTTTAGTCTTGTCAGCAATCAAAAGTAACCGCCTGCTTCTAACTACATCTTACTACAGCTAACTAACTAACTAACTAACTAACTAAGCCATTAATTGGGAAGTACAGTCTATAGACATATTTGGGCAAGCTGTGCACGAGAGTTCTCAATGCACTTCCTGTTGATCACCAAAGTGGGTGAAAACAAGCCGCGACACGGTTGAACACGCCAAGAATAATTTAACCAATGAAAGTTTGTCGACAGAGTTGTCTTCAGAAATGGACGATAAACCAAAACAGGAACTCTGATACTGGTAATAACCATCAGGGTCAGCTTTAACCTCAAGCATGCCCATGTCAAGATATTTATTGGGCTTAGAGGTGGCATGCCCAATTATAAAATGAGTTTTCTCCGTCGAAAAAAAGACAAAGGGGACTTAAGCACCGACGGTTTTCAGGACGGCTACGCGAACCGGAAATGAAGTCAAACTCTTTTGCGCGCTAGCCAGGGCTAAAACTGAAGCCCTCGTTAATATTATCTAAAGTTTACTCAAACAAAATAATACTAAGCGGCGACGGCAACGAAAATAGCCAGAAAAATCAGCGGTCTAGTTACCAAAAAAAAAACAAAAACAACAACAACAACAACTTTGCACGTGCAGCACACTTTTTTTGTACATTTCTTTGTCGCTGTTATGCACGAGTACAACGTGAAAATGGAGAAAATTTTGTAAAACTTCCTGTTCACTTTTTTAGCTACCGCTCATTTTCACCTTGGTGGCCGCTAGCATTTCTCATTTTTCTAACCGCCGCTAAAAAATTTCATGTTTTTCTTCCAAACAAATTGGTCTCCTATGTTTTTTATCTCTCGCTCTAGCTTTTTCTCTGTTATCCACGTCAATGTAGACATAAAAATTAACGCGGGTGCTTGAAATGCAAAATTTCACCCCGGCTTAAACAAAGGGGTGGACGTACAATGTACGTGCGGACGTACGTCGTACGCACGATTTTGTTAGTACAAAAATTTCTTGGATCAATAGATAACCAAATTTTCTTGCCCATATGGTGCTCCGCGCGCGAGAGCTCCGCTATTAGGAAACTTATTCGCCCCTAGCGTCGCAGATCCCTTTTTAGCCATTTCCATGCTAATTAATTGAAAACCAGAACCAGTCCTCCAAAAAGGAGGATTTGGTTAAAATGCGATTTCTAACCCTTCAAGATGCCCGTTGCCAAAGGGTATTAAAATACATTCGTTCTGAAATAATTTTGTTAACATTTTTTTGTGTGTTTAGTATAACGAAACAAGTCTTTGAAATTGGAAGGAGCGGGGTTACATGTGAGTTCAGGAGCTAATTTAATTGACTAGTCAGATGGAATGGCCTAATGGAGTGGTTAGTGCTTATCAGAGAGCTTACAACATAATCTACTAGTAGCCTTGTTAGTTATCTATAGGTAACTCTTTCACTCTTTGGGTCAATTATGGACACAAAATGAAACTTAACTTTTGAGTCAATGAATAAAATCCTATTTTAACCCCATTTAATAAATCAAACTTCGTTAGTAGTACTCTCACAGGCTACTATTTGTTTTGCATGTGAGTCTGTGGATGATAAGCTATGGTGTTAGCATTCAAACTAAACCTCTTCAGCTGCAGTTATTTCACATGGTGCTATTAATTTAGTTTGCTGCTCTAACTTTGAAGTCTTAAAATGAATTCCTATGGAGTCACCATGCAAATGTAACCTCCCAGCAGGCTTTCTTTCAGGTACACGGCAATGTTCTGACTACTGAGTAGGAGAATGAAAGCCATCAGATGGACCTTTAGGCTCTAACTCAGTTAAGTACTATTACTTTGTCTTCAACGTGGCCATTTTCTTGTCATCTCAAAATGTTTGTGGTGGTGTTGGTGGGGGGAAGAAGGGGGGGGGGGTGGAGAGAATCTTGTGTGACAACACAAAAAAGGCTGAGTAAGAGACTATACTGACGCAAGGAACAATTTGTCTTTCAGTGACCAATCTTGAGAGTTAGAGGATTAAATTACTTACAGGTTTTCTCCCACGTTTTTTGTGTCCTTCCTTTCTCTCCTGCCAATACCTGTCCACCAGTTCCTGACAAGTTAGAAGATTATCACTGGGTTCCCAGGAGTCCTCTTCTGATCCATAACCTTCCCAGCGCACTTTGTATAATGTTTTTCCATCCTACCAAACACAAATAGATAAAAATTGGCCATTAATAAAAAATAAGAGTCCATATTTAAGACTTCCTTCCCTTGTATGGCCCAACTTTTGAGTGACCTTAGCTGATTCAATGTTTTCACCCTGTACTGGACAAAAACTTAACATGTACAGTATGCCATGAATGTTTTTAACCTGATGTTGGTCCTTAGATAGGTTTAATTAACAATCCTCATTTTAAAAATGTGTTGATCTCCCAAAAAATTTGTTGAATTTTGGCCATCCAAAAACTGCTTTTTCCCCCAGAGAAATGTCCCAGAGACTGGAAACCAGTGAAGGATTGAAGATAGGCGGATGATATCATGTGACATCAGCTGATTTGCTCAGCCTTCACTTCCAATTCTGGTCATTGCGTTGTGTTTTTACAAGGTTTTGTGGAATTAACCGATGTATTTGACTTCAAAATATTACTTTACAATTTTTAGGGGGTTCACAAATTTCTTGTTCGAAGCTAGAAGGAATGTTATGGAGTCAAATTAGATCAACAGGAAACCACGCATTTTCCCATAACCTCACAACAAAGAAAACTTGAAGTTAATGCATGGCTATAAAAACCAATTCATGTTATTCAAATGAAACAAAGCCAATTCACAAATTAACAGGGAAAAAAACAATGGATTCCCCCAAAATCCTTAACTACCAGAGCACTGAGCATGATGCAGGTATTTTGCAGACCTTTGACCATGTGTGACTGGATGTAGTTTAGTTATTAAATTTAGGGAAGTGATAGCCTGAGAAAAGAGCCGACAATTGTTGATGCTACCTGCAGTAGTTTCCGCGCCAAATGATGCCTGATAAACGAGTGCAGAAATTCCATACTGATGACATGTCACTACCCAGATCTGTGTAGTGCTTCTGATTTGTTCAATCAAATTTTCCATGCAGCTTGACCAATCAGAAGCACTACCTGGATCTGGGTAGTGATGCCTCATCAGTATGGAATTCCTGTGCTCATTTCTCAGACTTCATTTGGTCAGGAAACCAGTGGTAGCGTCGCCAAATGTTAGCTGTTTTCTCAGGCTTAATTAGGAAAGTGAGCAAATGAAGTTCCAGTTAGGATCATTGTAGATGGCAAACAGAGACTGGAACTTGACTCACTAACAATAATCACTTTACTTCACAGGCATCATTCAGGGCAATTTGGATGGCCATAAGATTTCACAGTAATGACCGTTTCCTTCACCATGTCATTACCATGATCTTAAAATTACGGAACCAAAAAATAGTTTCCCGGTGACATACAGTAAAAAAACACGAGAAAGAACCTACATTTTCCAGGGTTAGCCTAAACAGGTTCTTACATAGATGGTGGTTAACATAAATTTAGGCTATCTAGGTTCTTAATAGGTTCTTAATTTCTTGCAAAAAATTTTGTTGTTGCTAAGAAGATTTTATATGCATGTCATAATTTTTAACATTAGAATTGACATGTAGCAACTACTCATCCACATTGATCATACATTTATTATACCATTTCTCTTTAACTAAATAATTTAAAATGATTTTTGAAAATAAGAACCTTTTTCCAAATTATAGGCTAAAGAGGTTCTTAAATCTTAGGCTCTTACTCGTGGGTTTTTACTGTATCCAGATAAATTCAGGCTGAGGGATCAAAATACACAAATTATATGGTATTTTCCCACTCGGATTTTCTCACTCAGATTGTTAACTAGTAGAGCAATTTTCTTTGGTTATGACTTGGCTGATAAATGAAATTAAAACGTTACCATTTTTCTATCGTCTGCCATCTTGAATCGTTCCCAAAGTGCAATTTGCACGTTACTGATGACTCATGCATGAAAGATGTCAGCGATTGTTATGGCTTCCAGTGCCAAGAAAAAAACATATGACACTCCAAAAGTTTAAAAACATTTAGAAGGTGGTCTTTTAGTGACGATTTCACTGTGAAACTGATGATGAGGCCCAAATCTCTTTATGAAAAGACAAGATCTGTGGCGAACATTTCAAGGGAGTATACTTCTTCAGTTGGATCAAAGAGGAGTTTGGAGTTTTAGACACTTAAGTGCACACACATTTAACACTAAAATTGACCTTCTTCTGACATTTTAATAGAAACAAATAACAGTACACATTATCAATGTTCTATAAGTATGTTTAACAACACATTTCTGTACATTAAAAGAACTCAAAGTGCATGGGTTCCCATTTTGCACAGAACCAAAAAATTGTTACTTATGGTTTCCCATGATTTCTGGGCACAGAATCAAAAATATGTTATCCATGGGATTTGGAAGGGCTTGATTTGGTGTTCTGCAAAATACCCCTCCAACTGTGAGCAGGCCTTGGTAACTATTTTTTTGTAGTTGAAAGTTACTTCAAAGGATAAGTGCTCCATATGGAACATTTTTAAAACTCATGAAAATTGTAACTATTAAAAACAAGCAAACAAACGGTAAAGGAAAACTAATCACTTTGTTCTTTCAAATATTTTGGGAGAAAATTTAAAAAATCAAAAAGTTTAATATAGTCTTAAATTCTTAAGCATTAATTTACATTCCTGTTAGGCTGTATTACCAGCCGCTGTTCAGGAAACAAGCCCATGCTCCTCCCCCAAACAGAAGGCTGGACACATGAGTTTGCTATTGTCAATTACCACCAATCAGTTCGATGCCTGCCCAAATTGAGCAGGCACCATAAAATTAATTTTTGTATTTTCCTTGCACAGATTTCTAATGGCGCATGCAAAGGTGTTGTTTGATGTGGTGTGTGATCTTGTTTTAGAGCATTTTGAGCTTAAAAACGTAAAATATTTACAAAGAAAAGTATCAACAATTATTTTCCAGTCTGCAAGTATGGTTGTTGGCAGTTAACATGAAAGAAACGACTGTCAAGTCCATCAGTAATCATATATTATGCAAGATCAATGTAAATACAATCAGTTAGTGTCTCTGCTGATTTTTATGGCAAATACCAAAGTGACAATGAGGCAAAGCACAACATGTGTTCGGTATTTAATGACCTTTCCCATTTCCAACGTTTTGTAACAACGCATAAATGAAATTTTGAATTTACATCACAGACATGATAGGCCACTCACACGTTCAGCCGTCTCTTCTCGGGAGGGACCGAGAGAGCAGCAGAAATCGAGCCTACATTCCTGTCTGAATGCAAAGACCGCAAGAAATGGAAACAAATTGTGAATCCATACATCTACAATCAAACATAACTTCAAGAATTGCTTCAGGGTGCAAAGAAAATTATTTTTACAGCTTGCCATTCAGGGTAAGCTGAAGCTAGCATTTACTAGGCCAGACGTCATTTCGATTAGCCCCGAAAGCTTTTTGACTAGCAGAATTGATTTCACACAGAAGGCTTCTTCAGTTATTCTAATTCCTCAAAAAACATCACTTGCCTGTCGGGCAAGTTAAAAAAGATGTCACTAGCCCGATAGCAAAATCCACTAGCCCTGAGCCTTCATACATCATACATATTAATGCAAATTAATAATGGTGAACAATAATTATCTAAAGTGTTTGTTTGACAACTGAAGGCTCTTTTATTCATGTGCGTGTTAAACTTGAGATACTATGTACAAACAGACTCGGCTTCAAGTCAAGAATATTGGAAAGCTACTACATAATAAAAAGAGCCCCCCGGAAGAAGGCGGAAAAGTATTCTAATGCACCGGGGGGATGTTGCATGTAAGCTTCCATTTGACCGATACACAGTACATGCACATAAATTATGTTACAAGGGTCTCGCTGAACAAAAATCGAGGCAATAGGTATAAAACCAAACGAAAAAATGGTAAGTAAAATCAAGGAGGCTAGGAAATTCAAACAAGTTTACTTACAGCTGACAGATGGAGAGCTAAAGCGTACTGTGAACAGCTGCGAGCAGCGCCAAACTAGGGAACCTTAAAAAACTACTACTAGTTGTATTACTCCTTCTGCTTAATCTGCGATTAGGCAAGTATTGGCTATCTTCATCAAAGCCGTCTTTAACTAAACACCGTGTGAAAACCATTCAATTAGGCCCGTTCATCGAACAAATATGCGGATGATGGCCGGAACAGCGATATTTCCCACGTATTGTACTCACAAAACAAGGAAAAAGCTTTCAACTCACCTTCCTTTTTGCATCTAAGATTTTCTCGACTTCATAAATGTTATCAACATCACTTTCTAAGTCCATAAGCCCAACTAATCGAAGACTCACATATAATCGAATCGACTTGGAGCGCGAGCGCTACGATTATAACGAATAAATTGAATTCCTGCTGAATCTGCAGTCATAAATGGCAGCGAAATGTTTATCGGACCCAGTCTTTTCCACTATAGAGTGATCATTGGACGAATGGAAGGAGCGGGGAAGAAAACAACGACAACAAACATGCAACCCAAGAAACCCGAACAAAAAATCACACAAACCGAATCCAGACCAATCTAAGGACACAATTTCTTGCAGAAAAAATACTAATAAATGTTTTTTTTTTCTGCTGAGTATCGAAAAAAAATTATCCGTACAACCGAGATGGCTAGTAAATCAACTCAAGAACTTTGATCTCCCCCATACCAAGCCACCTGTCTTTTAAAAATCGCGCAGGTTGGTTTCCTTCTTTTTATCACTAGCTATATTACAAAAGGAAATTATTTGGGAGTTACTCATAGCTTTATCGTCTTCATGTGGGGAGGAGTGTTGCGTGACGACACTAAAAACGGCTGTGTAGCAGACTAGCATACCCTCTGACATGTCTGACATATAAGGCCGGATTCACGTTCCGTGTTTTACACACTTTATAAAATATAATCGCAATCCAAAAGGCATGACTCTATCTCCAATATGCTGGAAATTTCATTTCCGAGCATGTAGCGATTTCAGTTATTTTTCTAGGAGGGCGCATGCCCCCAGATTCGACCCCGCCCACTTTTTCCTTACTACTATCATAGTAAGGTAGCGCACATTGGAAACTGAAAATATTCATTGATAGTGAAATTCCTATCAACATTTTTCAATGACTATTATTCGTCACTCACTATCTGTCTTCAGCATATTGGCTAAGAGCCCACAGTTAACTTTACGAATCAGCGCAACCCACAGTTAATTTTCTGCTAGCAGATAACTGAGCATTCTGTAGGCTACTATGGTTGCGCTCGCACTGCATGTTTTCCACGAGCAACCAAACTCAGGGTTAAGCGCGATGGTATGTTTGTTGTTATTTTCTTTTTTATCTAGCAATTACTTGTTGAGGTCAAGTGTGATCTGAAGAATTATGCAGCTCAGTCAAGGAAGGTGTGAGGACGATGGAAGATCTCACCATCTGGTCGATGTGATGTTAAGTTTCCGCGACTGAGAAAATGAGCTCATTCTCTCGTGGTTCCCGTCTTTATCAGTTTGTTATCTAGCAGATGTTATACATACAAACATACATGCATACAAGTCTGCAAGCATACATACATACATACATATACACTCGTTTTTTCTATAAGAATATGTATTTTATAAGATGATCGAGGCTGAAATTTGCGAAATTTTAACTGAATTTTTTAAGAATAAACCCCAGGCTGCGATTTTGAAAAGGATATAATTTTGTGTTTTCAAAAACTTAAATACAATACAATATGTTTTCAACTTATTCCATTCTCCAAACGGCAAAACTTGCCAACAAAACGAAAAAACCTGCACTTCCTATAATTGATACCTAAAATATTCTAAAACGGAAATGTCATAAGCTAAATAATTTAAGAATAATACAAGTATATTTTCTGCCTAAAATCGGAAGAAAATTCAGCCTAGGCCGGAGAAACAACATTCTTATAAAAAAAAAGAGGATTGTCGAATTTAGAGAAGCTAAAGATATAGAGGATATTACACGGTGGCGCGAAGATATGAATTTTATTTTCGAGAAAATAAAATTCATATCTTCAAGCCGCCTTGTAATGTTCTTTTTATTATATAGACAAAATGACATCGATAAAATAACAGAGGGAAATTACCAAAATTACGTCATCGATAAACTCACGTGTGAGATTATGGAAAATAAACCACTCGTGTCCCGGATGTGGTTTTTATGAATTTTACGAGTGGTATATTTTCCAGTAAAACACTCGTGTCTATATAATAAAAGCTAGTATCTTCGAGTTACTAACTACCAAAATATTAAAAAGACTAAGAAACATATGAAAGAACAAAAATAATAAAAAAAAACGACATAAGGATGGTCAGCAAAAGAGTCATAGACCCCATATGAGACCGACAACCTAAATTAACAAAAAATAAGGAAATGGGAATTATGTATATCAAAAAAGTAAAAATGATAATTGACATATAAATATCTACAGAAATGTTCGAGAGATTATCAAGTAGCCAAGAAATCAACTACTTGCTTGTTCTTGAAACTACAAATGTGACCGTGAACGGGAAAACGTACCTTAACGCTTATCCGTTAGACAAGCAAAAGCGTTAGGCATCCGTTAGTCATCCGTTAGAAAGTTTTCTTAAGAACGTTAGAGGCGTTAGCCCAGCCGTTAGACGTTAGCATGAGGCCGTTAGAACGGACAGTGCAACCGTTAGCAAGAGACATGTATCCGTTAGCCGTTAGCATCAGACCGTTAGACGGGTCAGCATAACCGTTTGCAAAAACTCTGCATCCGTTAGCACGGCTAGAGAAGCCGTTAGGATCCGTTAGAATAAACTAGCATCCGTTCAACGGCCTTCATACTATAATTATTATACACGATCCAAAACAAACCACGTTTGCCGACAAGTAAAATCATAACAACGATCGACATTATATGAACTGTTTATTTATTCGGCAAAGTCCGGTTATTTCGAGAGCTTGTATTTTGTACTGTAATTCCTGACGAAAGGAAAGTTAAAAATATCTTATAAATACCATAAACGGATAAAACAAACACGGGGAAAGCTCGACCAAAATGGCCATTGCGATAAATAAAAGGTCTGCGAAGTAAACACTGATCACAAAGTCATGTCAAGAACTTTGTGCTCGTGTTTCGTCACGCAACAATGGTTGTTAAAATGCTAATTTGTGGCGATTGCTACGACCTGCGAGGTGGGATCCCAAATGATCAATAATCTTCTTCCGTTCCCTTTAATCGCTGTTTGCAATCATTAAAATAATTAAGTGGTCTTTGTCGTTCGAACTGAAGTAGAATAATATTATTTGGTTTCAATTCACAAAGTGCGGACCGTTCAAAAATTTGCATAAAGTTGTTTACTTCTTCCAAGATGTGAGAAACGGCCATATTCCGGCGGAAAGGTTGATGAATATTTTGATAGACTTTCGTCTAATTTTAAACTACATGCATGTGACGAAAACAACTTTATCTGGTGAAACCAGCGCCAACACGTCGTCGCTTCGAGACTGACTTCGTGACTTCAAAAGGCAGCGCTTTTCGCATGCTCGGTCAAGATAGAAAACTTAATCTTTCGCGAATCCACAGCTGGCCCGGGTAAAACAGTTACTTTAGAAAAACTCTTGACAGAGCCATGGTGTAAAAATAAGTACAAGCGACAAATCCATTTGAGTAAAACAATAAAAAATGTTCACCACGACTGGCGATTAAAATTGTTTACACACAGGTTTTAGCGACGTTAGGTTTGCTTCTCACACGATAATAAAGGACTCGAATTCTGAGTTTCTACGTCTCGATGAGAAAGTGAAAGTTTAGACAAACGTTAAAAGTCCCTAAATGTAGAGCGTTAGACAACCGTTAAACGGCTCCAGTCATCCGTTAGAACAAACTGCGTAACCGTTAGAACGTTTTCTTCATCCGTTAGACATACTTAGTTAGCCGTTAGACCGTTAGGAGAAAGCATTAGAACGTTTTGATCATCCGTTAGGCACAACTAGATAACCGTTAGAACGTTAGGACAAAACGTTAGAATGCTGGGAAGGCCGTTAACAATCCGTTAGCTATCCGTCCGTTAGAGAGCATTTAACGGATAAGCGTTAAGGTACGTTTTCCCGTGCACGGTCACAAATACTTGGAGCACAACGAGTTGACGGTGGTAACGCATTCCACACTAGTATCAACAATCAAATTATAGCATTCTAAAATTTGAACTATTAAAAAGAGTCATAATGTACAATCTGGCGCTTGAAATCGGTAAAGTCAGAAGTTCTAAAACATGATCCGGAAGAGAGTTCCGTATTTTTGAAGCCACGGTACGAAAAGGAGTGAAGACCATATGTAGTATTATACAGTTCTTGGAGACGGAAGACTCAAAACATAATAACATAATGAAAACATATATAGCATTTGTCATTCGTCGAGTCGTATTTTTGCTGTTTTAGGTACAGTTTTTTTTGCACGAGTTCCGCTAGTCTACTTCCGCAAAGCGGGTGCAATTTTCTGCCATTTTCTTCAGCTTTGAAACAGCTAAAACCAACCCAACCTCTCTCCAGATCTTCTAGGCTCAGCTCCCGTCCTTTTATCCTGTACTGTTGACGTCATCTGACTGGATATCGCAAGTCTTGCAAATTTGTTAACCCTCTGGTTGGTTATGAGAAATTAACCGGTGGATTTGAGCCAATCAGGAACGGAGACAAAACGATATTCATGTGTCAAAAACAGGAGCGGATCAAAGCTCATTTTCTCTTGTTGTACGTGAAAACCATTATATAAGGGCAGATAAGGGAAATGAATAATATGGAATTTACAATTGCAAGTTCAACTTATTTTGTTTTCACAGCTTGCTTACTTTTTTTTTGCCAGCGGTCCTCGACTCTATCGTGCGCGTGCGGGTGGCAGGGAATATTTTGGCGCGTGCGAATATGGACATGCATGACAGACACTATTAGCAATTCATTTTTGGCGGGAGTTAACCTTCAGTCTGTTGATTGGCTCTGGAACAAAAGAGTGCTATCTTTCATCATACTGGCTATTATAATTGGCTATTGTAAAATACAGCTCCAGCAATCAAGTTATGCATGGTAACTTCGTCCATTACTACAGAACTGAAGAAGAAAAGTATATACTGACTTTTTCTTGTCAAAAATTGTTACACCTTAGGTGTATTTACCAGCCACTAGCCGTCACACAAAAGGCAAACACGTAAAACTGTTCAGTCGTGAACGAACAGTATTATTAAAAACGGGAGAAACGAACAGTATTACTAAAAACGGGAGAAAGAAAAATATCGACTTATCGGCGCAAATATCTGGGATGTCAATACATTATACTTTTTTCAGATGAGCGGAATGAAATTATTTTTGAAATTGTATAACCTT